AATGACCCGTGTCCCTAAGTGATCCGTGTGCGCTAAAGGGCACAGCTGAAGTGGCAAGTTTGCGGCGCACCTGGCTGGCAGCCGTGTCCGCGGGCCAATCCCTTGTGTGTTCGTGTGAGGCCGGATGAGGCAGCAGGACCTCCGAACCTGGCTGCTGACACTTTTCCAGCGAGATACCATCACCACAACCGAAAATGACAGGTCTCAAGAAACCAAGGACTTAGTGACGTCCTGCTTGGAGGTTACCTCCTGGCAGTCCCTGAGGGCACAGGTTAAGGCCATCATGAGGAGGCTTAGTTTTAAAGAAAAAAGAAACAATTTTGAGGGATCTGTGAGTTTTAACAGAAGATGGACAAGAGATCTGGACTCTTCTTCCGAGAGCCACTTTGGGACTCATGACCGAGCCTCGCTAACTCCGTGGGTCGGATGAAGATGAGAAACGTGCCTTTGCGGGGATGGACTCGCATGGATTATAAAGTGTTAGATAAAGGCATCAATTCTCAAGTGTAATAAAAAGACAGATGGAAAAGGTTAGACGTACACCTCATTAAGATGAAGCCATGTGTTTTGGGCAGACTCGGGTGATGTTTGTGAGGTGTGGAGTCTTAGGGAGATTGAGGAAATGAACACACTACGAATCCATAGGCATTTAACCCCCTGGAGCCCGATGACAGGTTCACGCAGCTTTACACAGACAAGCCATCATACTTGACGTAGGAATGTTCCAGCTTCCATCGTTCTTTATTAAATATTCGACAGGTTGCATCACCACTTTACAATGCTCCATCTGCTCACACGATTTGCTGCCAGGAAAACAATCTACAACTTCTCATTAGCTCGCGAGTAAAATGAAAAGCCAACAGGATTCTGTTCTTAAACAAAACGTTTCCTGTGTCTGTCCAATGCAACCGTATTTTAAAGCTGCTCGGACTGTGAAAATGAGCACTGTCCGTAGGTTGTCTTTAAAAAAAAAAAAAAGTCAAAGTCGTTTGGTTTTTAATCACCGTATCAAATAGTACTTGGCTCTGTATTAGGCGGTGGGTTTATAAGAAAAAGTTATGAAACACTGAGGATTCAGTGGGAATGCTTGAAACTCTTTTCACCTTAAAAGTCACTGTTTTTTCATGTTTCGTTTGAGCATCGATCCTGAATTAAGAAATCACAGCATATTAACATCCTCTCCTGGGGGTTCTCTCAGGCTCCGAGGGTCCAGCTCAGGATACAGCTGGGAGAACACTGGAGAAGCGACCAAGCTCTCCCTCTTTCGAAACCAGATTGCTCAAGAAAGGTGTAAAAATGCTATACAAATATATACATATATATTTGGACAGCATATGTGCGTATACGTGTATATATATATATTTTTTACATACATAATAGTAAAGAAAGAACAAAGTTATGCAAAGTTGTTACATGAAGGAAACCGTGACAATCCGGGTGAAATCAGTCTCAGTAGGAGCTGCAAACCGGCTACAGGAACACGGGTGTCTGCAGACACAGGGTTATGGTCGTGAGAAAGGCTTGCGATGCATGATACACGGCTGTGGCCCGTGTCATTAGATTCCCATTGTTACTCCTTACACACAGACTAACCGACAGGAAGACATGCATTTCAGACATGCGTTGCTCTGCACATCACACCTTTAACGAGAAGTTTTCTTGGAAAAGTTGACACAGATGAGAAAGCTCTCCTTTTCTAGAAAACATGACAGTTCACGTCCTAATGCTACGGCATTTTCTGACACACTGAAAACACTCGTGTGCGTATGTGTGTACATATGCAAGGGTATATACACTGTTTCATTAAGGCTTAGATAAATTAAAAAAAAGAAAAAGTGGTCCAAAGTATATCACATTTTCTTCCCAGTTTTAAAATCTGAAGTACAAAGTGGAGTTTATAAGGATTTTTAAAAACACACCTCAGACCTGAAATTGGCAGTTTTGACTTCTCAGGACGTACCCCAAAGCCTGAATGAGAGGTAGTGATCTCCTGGGGGTCAGGAAGGGAGCAAACCAGGCAGTTAACCCTGCACAGCAGCACCCCCTACCGTCAAGGCAGAAAATGATACGAGACAGCACGTCCCCTCCCCTCCCTGTCAGTACAGGGGTGCAGACTCCGGGTGAGGAGGAGAGGCAGAGAAAGGACAGAGAGCACAGGAGATCCAGAATTGTGTAATGCAGGCTCTTTTTATAGGTTTTAAAATTTCAGAGGTGAGAGACAAGACTTAGGAAAATACTAGTCAAGTGTTCAACAATTAGTAACTGTTGGAACAATCAGTAATTTGCTGCGTATGAACTTGGCTTTCAAGAGAGCCCATCTGGATCTGGAAGACCAAACAGCAATGGCACACGCTGCCTACGTGAGCAGCATGATGACATTTTGACTGTTTTAAATGCTCTGCAAACCGTTTCTTGGAATCCATCACTGCACCCTTATGTGGGAGGAATAATCCACGCCAGGTGGCTTGATAGCACTGGTCATCCGACCTCAGGGAATACTGACGTTAGCTACCAAAGGGTCATCGAAACAAAAACCAAAGAAGCATCTTACATCTTACATTGCGATCTGGTCAGGTCTGGCTACAGAAAGGTAAGTAATGGGGAATGCTTTGGGAATAAGAGAAAAGCACTTATGCTGAATACAACGTTCAAACAGACCGATGCCTCCTCTTTCCTATTCCTGAGGCAGCAGGTAGGAGCCCAGCCCAGCACTGCAGCTAATCCCACTGGGCAGACTTTCCAACTCGATCTCCGGGCCAACAGGGGGCAGGAAGAGAAATATCCAGAACCGACAGACGGTTGTGATAACTGACCTTCAGCATGCAGTATGTAAACTCTGGAACTTACTTCCTAACCTCACAGTAACTATCCCTTCTTCCAGGAACTACAAAAAAGCTCAATTCAAGTGATTTCTAAGAAAACAGGGGCTAGAGAGACCCTGGGCTTGGGAGAAGCATCACTGCTGGGGACAACTAGAAAGGGACACCGCCTGTGACTCCAGGCCTGCTGACCACAGTGGTGGAGGCTGCGCCCATCACGTGACACACGTGGCTCTTCATGTGGCACGTTTTCTTTACTGTCTCCTGTCATTAGGTCTTGAAGATGATGGACAGTGGTGATCAAGATTCAGAGGAAACGAGATGACTAGATGACTATTTTCAACAAAGAGAAACTCTGAGAATTGTTGAGAACTTGGGAACGTGGATTAAAAACCAAAAAAAAATGAACCCCAACCCCAGCACTATTTAGCTGTTATTGAAATCAGATACTAAGGAAGAGATGAGCTGAACCACTGCTCACAATCACTGCCATTCAAGTATTCACAGGGGTGATACGTGGGTGATTCTCATCTGTTCCTGGTGTAGAAATTACCTTAGAATGACTTGTTCTTTCTTATTTTCAACACTTTGTCTAATTTGTATTGCACAAATATTCTGATTTTGACCCCCAGTCCTTGGACCAGAATCGCTGGAATTCCCCCCGTGGTCACATGACCACTCTCAAACCCAGCTGGCATGCTGCTCCCCGGGCCTCGGCACGTGTCTTGCAGGGAGCTGACCTGGGCTCCGCGGGGCTGCAAGAAGGGGCTTTTACCACCGAGACAGTTGTTATATTGATCAAAAGGGGGGAAAAAAATCCCACCAACAATGAAAATAATGAGCAACACTGTTTTTTCCCTAATGACGCAGCATCTAGTTTTCTGATCAGTATTTGATATTTTAAAGTCAACATGAACAGGGAGCCAGTCCTCAGCTTGGCGGAAAGCCACCTTCTTTTGGCCAGTACAGACTTTAGACAGCTCATTGACAGCCACAAACACTCATTCATCGCTTCTCACAAGCCGCCGAAACAAAATTTCTCACACCGAAAAGTCCTTCTTACATAACAAACGGAGGCCCTGAAACCACCGTGTTTTGGTCTTATTTACTGAGGGGAAGAGATCAGATCTCTAGTGTCTCCGGACCACCACAGCACCTGGGACAACACAGCCTCCGGCCGTCTCCAAACAGAACTCAGCAACAGGAATTACAGGCAGCAGAGACTCAACTGGGCCGACATCCTCCATCCCCTGCCCGTCACTGTTGTTCCGGCACACGACAGACACAACCAGGCAGCACACAGTACAGAAGGGGCATGCAACGGGTCGCAAGGAACAACACCGGTTAGCTCGCGTGCGGATTAAAGTCATCTTTGAGCAGAATTCACACACGATCGGTGAGGACAGGTCTGTCGGCTCAGCTTCACAGCTCGGTTTACACACCAGCAGCCAGGATCACTATCGACGGACACTGTACCGGACAGAAGTGTGCAGGGAGAGCAGGAATCATCACATGTAAGGTCCACAAGGAACAAGACATAAACCGAACCAGGCAGGGCCTCCGTGTGGTACATAAAGTGCCTTCGGAACTGGTGCAGTTAGAACTGGTTATTTCGCTGTCATCCGCAAATACACACAAACGGGAGACTGAACAGATGTGGTTTCCAGTTTCAAATCAAGCAGTGCAGAGTTTCATTCAAATAAATGTCTCTACTACGAACGGCAAAGAGGAAAACGGTAAAAGAAGGACTGTACAGCATCAGGAAGGGTTAAGCGATTTCTCTGACGAGACATGATGTCCACCCGTCTCGATGGGCTGGCGCACACGTGAGTACTTCTAAGGAATGATGGCGACTCCTTCCATTCAGCACGACATCTGTCCCGTGATGGCACAGTTCTCCCAGCCTGTAGCTATTGTGTTAAATTTGTACAAAAAAAAAAAAAAAATCTAATATCCAGTTTGTTTTCATTCTGAGCATGGAAAAAATTATAATTACACCTAATGTGATACTGTCAAGACTCTCAAAGTACTTGTCTGTAAGAAGGTTTTGGACACAAATCAGTCTTCCAAGTCTAATAAAGTCAAGGGGAAGGGGTGTCAAAGTACTTCAAAAATAAAAATGTCACGGACATTAAACCTGGTATGACATTTAAATACAAAAAAAAAAAAAAGTATGCTCACTTTTCCAAGTACATGAGACATCTTTAATTGTAATGAAATGAAATTGGAAAATCGGTCTAAATCATTTTCAAAAAGTAAACATGAGTTGTAATACTATACCTGTAGATTGATTAATTCCATTCATTGTCATTATAAAGTATGTAAAATATTTATTAAGGGCTTTGCCTTACAGAGGCACAACATAAATAGAATTAAGTCCTCCTGAAATGTAATTAGTATACACATCAACCAGTTGATAATTCGCAGTGGAAAATGCAGAAACGGGACCTGGGACTGGGTTCCCACGTCTGAACTTGGGCAAGTCACGGGCAAAGGCTCGGCTCCAGGGGCCACGGTGCGCTTCCGCCATCGTCTCTGCAAAGTCCGTTAGGCAAATACGAAAGTGCAAGCAGGACTTGCTGGATGAACCACCACCCGAGGCAGAGGGTGCCTAATCCACCCCTTCGAATCCTTGAGCGTTTTCCACGGCCATGAGAAGCTTCTCTCGTAAATCTTCGAAGGTTTCGTATGGAGGTAAGTCAAGGCGGTTAAAGCTGCAATGTAACAAAAGTGTAGGTAAAGTCATCACCATTACCCTTTAGACAGAACAGCATTTCTTAGATTTGGCTAAGGGGGCATTTGGGGTTGGAGCCACAGTATGTAAATGTCTTAACGGAATTCTGATGATCGGAATATAAATTCCAGCGATGAAACTGTCTGCACCCAATAGACTATATAACCTACCGAGGAGAGAAAAGAATTTTCTCATTGTGCATGAAACCTCTCTACTCCAGCTAGATGGGGCACTGGAAAAATCCTGCTGGGGAGGGAGACAGAAAAGGCAAGGTAACTGATACGCACTCCCAGACTTCAAACCCCAGCAAAACAGAAGGATTTATGCATTCGGAGTTCCAGGTGCATGGAGGCTGTGTCCCTTCCTAATGCTCTCACTCCTGGGGCACCAGGCCCTGAGCCAAATGCTTTTCCACAGAGCAAGTCACTGGTTTCCCACCAGGCCTAGGAGGTGGGCAGTGTTTCCTCTGTTCTGCAGATGAGGGTTCTGAAGCGCAGAGAGGTCAAGTCACTGCGCCCAAACGCTGGCCCCTGGCAGCACGGCAGGCTCAAGACCAGAACCAGGCTGTCTGCAGCTGCAGAGCCAAAGCGAAGCTGCCTCCACCAACTGACGTTAGGCAAGCAACAGACATGTGAGGTGAAAAGCTCCATTTAGAGAAAGCCCTGATTTACCCAGAGGCTTCGTTTGGGGTGTTGCAAATCACCCTGGTGGTAGCGAAGTGCTCAGAGACATGATGCGCACTTGTCTAAGTTTCCACATTCGATTCTGGCTCGGCCACTTGCCAGCAGTGTGACCTGGGCAAGTCACCACCCTCTCTGAGTCCGTCTGCTCTTCTGTCAAATGGAGAAACAGCTCACAGGGCGCTGGAAGGGTCACATCAGGACATATGTAAAGTGTCCTGGTACACAGCAAGTACCCAGAGATGGTGACCCGTTATCACTTGCTCACCATTCACTGAGCGCCCACATGGGATGCAAGGGTTAGAGCCCCCCGTCACAGGATTCATGCTTGGGGTGAGGGGGTGGCTGCTGACATGTTCCTGTCATGAAAATGGCCATCCACCCTTTGCCAGTTAATGATGATTTCATAAGAGCTAATGTTCAGGAAATATTTACCCTGTGCAGTCAGCCTCGTTAAATACTTTCCACTTAACCACCTCAGTGAATCCTAGCAATCACCCTATGAGGTAGGTAAAGCTTCATCCTTATTCGAGGCACAGAGAGGTTAGGTAACTTACCCAAGGTCACACAGTAAGCATTAGAGCTGGGATTCAGTCCTATGCTGGCTCCAAAGCCCGGCTCTAACCACTGCTAGTGCCGCCTCGGATCTGAAACTGCTCCCTCCCGGCACTGACGCGATTCCGTGTTTGAAAAGCTACTGATTATGAGCGGCAGTAAGAAACACACCTGCATCCACAGTGGGTCCTTTACCAACCCCTGGAATGTTTAATGAGACACACTGAGCTCTCAGATCTTTTCAGTCACTAAATATTAAAGACATAGCAGGAAATAACACTGCTTCTCTAAGTGGAGTTCTTGGAAACCCAGAACCCTAAAACAGTAAGTCTAAGAGAAGTTTTGAATATTTGGTTTCCACTTTGATAATGAGCTCAGACATTATTTCACCAGCCATAAAGACACAACTCCAAGTTTGCAGGCTGCACATAAAGAGCCGTTCACAGAAGGGGGCTTTAGTATGGACTTTAAGTCGGTATTTCAGTCCAGGGCCTGCAATCCCTACCGGGTCTGCAGATGGAGTCTCGAGGACCTGTGACCCCTTTTTCGCTTTACCATAACCCCCTCCTGAGAACTGCTGTGACGATGACGTGAGTTAATACACGTGACATGCTCAGTAAGTGCCGGTGATTGTACTGAGGGCAGGGGGCGGGGCAGTCTCTGGCCTGCGCCTAACGGCGGGACTTGATTATCCTCCGTGGACTTCGGCGTCTTCACGCGCAAGACGTGTGGGCCGAATGAGATTGTTTTTAGAGTCGACAACAAAGAGCAGGTAGGTCTGTGATTCTTAGTAAAGCGTAATTTTCAATATCCAAGCAGTGACCTTTGGCAGAACAATGAAATGAAGCCCGATAAAGATCAGACGCCCAAAACTTACACCTGAGAGATTTATGGAAAGTACCAGAAAGAAGCAGACCTACCAGCCCTTGCTCTCCTGATAAATAAGGTTAGCATTTTGAAGCTTAACTGTGTCTTTTATGTTTTCACGAAACGTGGAAGACATTAAACACATATGGCTACATCTGCTGTGGAAGGAACAGTGGCCGTGAGGTGGCCAGCAAAGCTGGCTTCCTCTGTGTGCGCGGGCGCCGGGGCCAGGCTGGGAGCACAGCCACGCACACAGGGCACACAGCGAGCCCCGCCCTGCCAGCCGCTGTGGCTGTAGCGAGCACTCCCTGGGTCAGCGCACAGTTATTCTGGGGGCACTGTCAGTAGGAAGCCTCTCCGGCTGCCTTATTTCTATGACACCAGGAAGAAAAGAGGCTCTGGTAGGAGCCTGCTGGGATGCCCTCCTCCTCCAGGCAGGCCTTCGTCCTTCCTAAGGAAGAGCAGGGATGCTACACCCTCCCTGTCCACCAGGCCCAGCTGGAGGCTCTGACAATACCATGGCCCAGGCCACACACCAGGCCCATTATTTCCAAATCTTTGGGGTGGGATCAGTACTTTAAAAACAGCACCATGCCCTGGCCGGTTTGGCTCAGTGGTTAGAGTGTCGGCCTGCGGTCCGGAGGGACCCGGGTTCGATTCCCGCTAAGGGCGCGTACCTCGGTTGCAGTTTGTCCCCGGCCCTGGTTGGTTATGCGGGTGGCGACCACTCGATGTGTCCCTTTCACATCGATGTTTCTCTCTCTCTCTCTCTTCCTCTCTCTCCCTCCCACTCTATCTGAACAAAAAATGGAAAAATGTCCTCGGGTGAGGATGATAAAAAAAAAACAACAAAAAAAAACAGCACCAGCTTTCTAGGCGGGTTCAACGTGCAGACAAGGTTGGGCTTATCTGGGTAGCACCATGTTTCAGTTGTGGCCGAAGCAGGTGAACTCCGAAAGAGAAGGAAAGTTCAACAACAGGATATTTATCCCAAGTGTCACAGAGGGACACAGGCTGGACTCTCAATTATTTGGTTCTCTTTGGAGAGTCAAAAAAGAGAGCAGGCTGTATTGATAGATGCCGTAGGTTAGTGTCGTGTTTAGCATGTCGATTCTAAGCCTGGCGGCCCCCAGTTCACACCCTGTGACTTGGGAGCCTGTGACCTGCGTGATCCTGGGCCAGTGTCCTCATGGCCCATGGGAATGACGATCATACAGCACAGGCCGCCCTACAGACCAGGGAGGATGCCCACAGACAATGGCTGTGCCCGAGAATGCGGCTCCTGCTCCTGTTTCTACTCTCTGGACTATGGATTGGGGGGGTTCCCCTCCATGCCCCACAGTCCTGGGCTCTGCTCCGTGCTGGCTGCCTTTCCAGAAAAGGGGTCATGACCTAGGAAACTTGACTCTGTTATTGTTCAGAATAAAAGCTTCAAACTACCAAAACATTCTCCCCCTGGAGTAAAGGCAGAGAATGATGGACGATGGCAGCTGCAGCTGGTGCCAATGTTCAGCTGCTTTCAAGGTGTGACTGGAGGTGATCATATACATGCAGGTGGTATAAAGAGGAAGAGCCGTTCTCTCCAGCCAGGGGTGCAGACAGAGGTGAACGTCTCAGCCACTCCACCAGCACACTTTCATCAGAACCCCTCCCAGCAGCACTCTGCTCCCCTCCTGCAGGGGCACCCGGCTGCTGGCCAGGGCCCACTTCCACTCACTTCCTGAGAGCGAGAAATCAAAGCTCGTGGGGAAACCAACGCAAGGGGCCTCGCTGCTCGGATTAATGAGCACCCGCTGAGAGCGGCCAGGTTCATCCTGGTGCTGGTTTTTCTGTTAACTCTGTAGAGAAGCAGAGACCCGCCTCCTTGCCCAGCATCCGGGAGCTGACCCGCTCCACCCTGCCTCCCGGGGCTGTGGTCCTGGGTCAGGGCGCCTACCCTCCTCTGGCTACCATCATCCTGGCACTAAATTCCAGAGACTTCTGGGTTACCGTTGGCCTTGGAAGCCCTTTTCAAAACAACGCTGCTACAGGGAATTTTATTCCAAGTTCTAAAAAGCTCATTTGAGGGTGGAGTAATAACCAATCTGTTTCGAGTTTGGGAGCTGTCGTGCCCATGCATGGTGAATGTTAGCAAAGTCTCTGCTTCCTGGATGAATGAGGGAAGAATTGGGTTTGGAGGAATTCCGCACAGCACGGAGGGCTTAACCCCATGTGTGCCGAACACACCAGGTCCATGCAGACCTTGGTTTAAGCTTTATGGGCGTTATAGTACAATTTATATTTTCATCTGCACCTTGACACTTCAGACTCTAAGCTAGTTATGGGCGGGACTGCAGCACCATGTAGCCTCCAGCTCAGGAGCACACACAGGTGAGTATCTGGAATTCGGTTTGCTGACTCGGTGCTCTTGGTCACTCACCATGTGTGAGCTCTGGGCAGCTTGTCAGGACTCCCCCATTGCTCTATTGTAAACAGCTGAGGACCATTGGAACCTGGACAAGAAAAAGAGAGAGAAGTGAATGCTAACAGCGCTCCAGGTAAGTGTGTGACTTAAGAAAAAGGGGGCGAGCCGAGCCACCCTCTGGGCTGCAGCGTTCTGTTTACTGTTTCACCGTGGGGAGCAAGAGGTTTGCACAACCTCACGACACAGACTCGGCGTCGCCTTCAGAGTGGAACGGAGCCACCTGGACGCCGCAACACACGGGAGCGCGGGCTGCTAGAGTCTCAGGCCGAACCTCGGGAATTTAAATTTAAAGCTACTTTTTTGGGGGTAAACTAAAATGCGACCTTTCCTGTGCAGAGCAGAACACATGCCATGTTTAATCTACAGGAAGCACTGAAGGATTGATTCCGCTCCCTGGAGGTGCGAGGCCCTTTCAACGTTCAGTTTGTAATCACGTAGACGATTCTGCAGAATCTAGCTTTTAAAGACAGACCAAAACAAAACAAAACAAAAAACAGAGAGATAGTATCCTTCTCACCATAAAGTTCAGCAAATCCATTCATAGGTACTCGGGACGTCCCGGTGACAAACTGCAGCAGCCGGATACGCTTCTCGGCGTCCATCAGCAGCACAGCCTGGAAACAAGCAGGTCATCGTGACACTCGGCACACCGTATTATATGGCAACATGAGACCTACACGGTTCACTCTGAAAATAGTCCTTGTTTTGTTTTGTTTTTTTATCCTCACCCAAGGACATTTTTTCCCATATTTTGTTCAGATAGAGTGGGAGAGAGAGAATCATCGATGTGAAAGGGACACATCGGATGGTTGCCACCCTCACGACCCAACCAGGGCCGGGGACAAACTGCAACGGAGGTACGTGCCCTTAGCAGGAACCGAACCCGGGTCTCTCTGGACCGCAGGCAGACGCTCTAACCGCTGAGCCAAACTGGCCAGGGCAGTCCTTGTTTTTTTTAACAGCCACCACAATACGGGCCTCTCTGTCTTAGTGAGAGATCAGTGTGTCTCTTTCTTCCTCTGCAACGAGTCGAAATAAATGATATAAAAAGCAAACCCTTTGATGGCAATGGGCCCAGGAGTCTGTGTGCAGGCTTGCCAGTTCCCTGAAAGCCAATTATAAATACACAGGGTTCGAGAAATGTCAACACCAGGGGAGGAGCCCAGGTTATGAGGTGGGATTTCAGACTGTGGATAGATTCTCAAAAGACAACACTGTATAAAGAGAAAGAAAAACACAGGCAAAGATAGGCCTCTAAAATAATCTGTGTATCTTACATATCTGAGTTGTTATAAGGCTTGAGTTGGCTTTACTGGTAATGTTACTTAAACTGCTTTATAAAAAACTCCAAAATCAAAACTGAGTTAGATTTGGACTGGGATTTGAAGATTCTGCTTTTTTCTTCCCCTTTTTCTTTTTTTTTTTTTTATCCTCACCCGAGGGTATTTTTCCATTTTTTTTGTACAGACAGAGTGGGAGGGAGAGAGAGAGAGAAACATCGACGTGAAAGGGACACATTGAGTGGCTGCCACCCGCACGACCAACCAGGGCCGGGGACAAACTGCAACCGAAGTACGTGCCCTTAGCGGGAACCGAACCCAGGTCTCTCCGGACCGCAGGCCGACGCTCTAACCGCTGGGCCAAACCGGCCAGGGCTTCTTCCCCTTTTTCAAACAAATGTTTTTTATTGATTTTTTTAGAGAGAAAGGAAGGGAGAGGGAGAGAGATAGAAACATTGATGAAATAGAGAAGCATCAACATTGATCGGCTGCCTCCTGCACGTCCTGTACCGGGGACCTGGGCATGTGCCCTGACTGGGAATCAATCAGCAACCTCTTGGTGCATGGATCGACGCTCAACCACAGAGCCACACCAGCTGGGCTGCTTTTTTCTTGTTATCTCTATTTCTGCTGGCACTTGAAATAGTATTAAAAACAGCCATTTAGAAATTAAAATAAATGATGTGATTGTTTATCTCTAGAAAGCAAAAATCAGCTTTTTTCCTGTAATTATCTTTGTAAAGTCAGTTTATCATCTCTCCCTTGGACCCGCTCATTCATTCCCACCTCGCTCTCTCCTAAGCTACACAGAATGCAAACATTGGCCTGGAGGTAGTAAATCACATCTCATTTATAACCATCTCTGACCGAAAGATACAAAAGATCAAAATGTGTGTTGGAATGAACAAAAAATAAAATTGTGAAAATGATTTTTCATCTGAAAACGGCATCTTGGAAAAGTCAGCCCTAAAGTATGTTTTTGTCCTGAGAAGCCTCCATCCTATTTACACTCCGGAGGACATGGTCCAGCTCTCGAGTCCAATGACCTCCTTTTCCGAATCTCCTCCTCAATGGGTTCCTCAAACAGAAGCCACTTGAGTCCGGGGGCTGAGGAGGGGCAGTGGGCTTTGATAAGGATCAACCTCATTTCAGGACAGCCGGCCCCTGGAGTCACACAAGGGCTGCTTCTAGCTCAAGTTCGCCTCTTCTCTCCACCAGCAGCCCACTTACTAACTGAGCCCCAACTTCCAGCAGCTACACTGAAGCGAGGCCGGGGGAGGGCAGGAGAGCCCTCGGGCCTGACGAGGCAGCAGAGCAGGGTGTGGGCCCAGGAGGCCCTGGAGGCCGCATCTTACCTTCCAGAACCACTGAATGACGGGGTGGTTGGGGCAGTACCCGTTCTTGTAGATTGTATGTTGTCTCCAGTCGTTCACGTCCACATCGCCAAGGCCACACATCAGCAACTAGACAGGGGGAGACCAGCTTGGTACATGGGCCACCACGTGAACACTGAGTGTGATTTCCACTCAGAGAGGTGGCTGTTCTCAGGGCCCGCATGCTGACCTACACAAACAGGCAAGCTGGCAACTCAGAGAAACAAGCGCAGGGAATGTGTGTTCCAACCTTTATGAGCCCCTGCAGATCAGAGGCAGCGAAGGTAACAGGGGGACCCCAGGCTACTGCCTGTACAGACCACAACGTTTCCTACTGGAAAAGAAACCCCGGCTTGGTCCTCTTCCTCCCTCCCCCTCTAATCTGAGCGCAGTGCTATAGATTTCCTTACGCTCTATTTCCATCTCATTACCCTGGCTGTTTCCCTTCTGAGAGGTTATCTGTCTCAATATTTGAAACGCTCTCCCTGCCCACGGAAGAATTAGTGTGTTATGACAGCAAGACTGTATCTCCCCCAGCTTGATCAGTCCACGGGAGAGCAAATCACCCATCTGTCCAGTGACCTGCAGATGCAGACCTGTGCTAACGTGGTAACTGGTCTTTGGTTTAGCAGCGGGGCTTCGGGCTGCTGCTCTTTTATCTAACCCCCAATAGGGACGGTTTCCTGTGGACAAATGAAGGTGACGTTCCTGCAGGGGTACTAGAGTGAAAAGGGAAGAGAACTAAGCCATTCGCCTGAAAACGGGATTCCTGCGCCTAACTGTGCAGAACCTTGTTGGGTAAACCTGTGCGGTCACTGACTTCTCCCTACCTCAGTTTCCCCACTGGTCAACCATCTACTTGAAGTTTTCATTTTAAGGTAAAAGAACAAAAACCCAGTCTACGGAAGATGCTTCTTGGGACGTGGCTGGGACACGTGGCTAACTGAATCCCTCAACAGCTTGCGAACACACACAGCCTCCTCTCGACAGAGAAAGGGGGAGAGAGTCCTTTGCTTTTAAAGTTGCTAGTTCTCATCTACCTTAGCACAAAGAAGCTGAAGCAATCGACTAGAACTACCCGTTGCCTTCTGATGGTCTCCTTAGTTACCACAGCCCACTTCCAGTTCCGGGGGACACCTGTCCTACATCCCTGGAGATGCTTATACTCACTTCCTGGCCAAATCTGCGCCTGGAAGCCAGGGTGGGTGGGTGAAGGAGGTGCAGCCGGGCCTTGGGCCACCCCAACTGGTGCTACCACCTTGTCTCTATGAGAGGCAGCAATTTTCCTCATCTGGGGCAATGGGCCACGAACCCAACTCAGCTCAGTGGGCCTCTGCTCGTCCCGGATGCCCCGGACTGCCCACTGCTGGGCAGGGAAACTGCAGGTGATGACTCACCCCGTCACCTTCCCCCGACTGGCAAACACACAAGCTCCTTAAGAGACATGTAGAATTCACCTAAGCTGACTTCACAGGACATTATGCATCAGAGAACCTTAAAATATTATTTGTGAAGTAATGAAAAACTTAAAAAGAAATCTACTTTACACAAAATGTTCACAATACAAACCTCCAGCTCATTTTCATCAAAAATTTTAATCAAATCAATGGGAAGCAGTTCTGTGAATCCCTGAAAGAAAAAAAGAAAAAAAAAAAAATCACCCTAAATACCGTTTTTTCTTAAAAGAGGCAATTTTTACAGGAAAAAAAACAAACCTTTTTTTCGGTTAGCCAGAAAAAAATACATTCTTTGCTAATGATTTATACATTAGTGATAGTGTCCATAGTTGTAATTCTAATAAAAACAGCCTAGTCACGATATAGATATTCTCAAAAGGAGTGGAAACGGAAGGCCAGGTACGTGAATCGTTTTCGAAGCCCTATGAAAACACGGGTTACTGTGCAGGCTGGCAAACCCCGGAAGTCATTTATGATGCACGGGAGCCAGTGTCCTAAAACACACACGCCACAGACGTGCAAGAGAACACGTCTAGAAACCAGGTCCCGAGGCCCCCTAGATGAGATACAGGAGGCCGCGGTGAGCTGGGTGCAGAGGAGACCAGGGGTGTCCTGACCCCACAGGAAGCCTGCTCTAGTTAACAGGTAGCATCACTACTGAGGGGAGAGTCCAGCCCTGGGCTTGCTGGGGGTGGGGGTTTGAAAGCGTGGGTGGATCCCGTGGGGTGGGGCCCAGGAATGTGCTTCCTGGGTTTCTTGTCTAAATCGAGCAGGAAACCTGCTGTTCGCGAGGACATCTAACTCACATTTGTGCCCCTAAGGCCCTGAACATTCTGTCTGGGTTTGGGGCTGCATCACCACGAGCTGGGGTAACTTCTGCTTCAGTTTCCCGGAAAGTACAAGGTGCACTGGGGCTTGTTTCTGTGTTTGCTTTAACTAACATCCATTCTCACATTTTAAGAAGGGCTTCCACGTGTGGTCAAAGTGAACCCTATTTTAAAATGACGAGCCCTGCTTACTGACATCAAGTCCTTGGATCTGAGAAGTGCGCGGCCCCGAGTTCCGGGGTCTCACGGGCGCGGCCCCGAGTGTCCGGGGTTTCACGGGCGCGGCCCCGAGTGTCCGGGGTTTCACGGGCGCGGCCCCGAGTGTCCGGGTTTCACGGGCGCGGCCCCGGGTTCTCAGGCTTCTGAGGACCCGTCCACGCAGCCAAAGGCAGAGACGCGTCTCCAGCCTTCGCTGGGGCACCGCCCAAAACTGCGACAGTGGGTCTAGGCTCCGTGGGGGAACCTGCCTTCTGGGTCGTTTGTAAGAAGTTCTTTTTAAAAACTGCGAAGGCGAGCCCTGGCCAGTTTGGCTCAGCGGTTAGAGCGTCGGCCTGCGGTCCGGAGAGACCCGGGTTCGGTTCCCGCTAAGGGCACGTACCTCGGTTGCAGTTTGTCTCTGGCCCTGGTCGGTCGTGCGGGTGGCAGCCACTGGATGTGTCCCTTCACGTCGATGTTTCTCTCTCTCTCTCTCTCCCCCTTCCTCTCTCTCCCTCCTACTCCATCTGTACAAAAAATGGACAAATATCCTCGGGTGAGGATTAAAAAATAAATAAATAAAAAAATAAAAACTGCGAAGGCGAATTAAGAAATCAGAGAAGCAAAGACGAGAACACTAAGCAAAAGGAAAGGGTGGCCACGTGGTGGCTGAACACACTGTCCTGGGGACTGGCCTGTGCGGTGGGCACCGCCGCCGGGCCCGCCTTTCGGTGGGTGATGGCTCCTGCCACGGCCCTCGGGAGCCAAGCCAGCCTCTCTCCAGCTGCGTCTACAGGTGCAGGGGACAGTCCGAGGGCACCGCTTACCTCCAGGAAGGCGTTCATTTGCTTCTGGACCCTGTTCACAAACCTCCACTGGATGACTAGGCTGCAGGAGAAAACGAGACGGTATTTCAGCACCTCCATCACCCCAGTTTCGATCACGACTCATCAGACAGAGGAGAAGGAAGTCGGGGGTCTGGGGCTGTGCACACTGTTTATTCATTAATTCTTTCAGAGTAACTGGAACACGTGAAAAACCTAAAATCTCATGGAGGATTTCAAAGGAACAGTTGATTCTTGTTTTCCCCCAGATGAAGGCTTAGCTTATCTAAATTGCTTTATAAACGTGACTACGTGGAGAAGAAGGGAAAGATCAGGGGTATGAATACACATGTATATGTGCAGATATATGCACATAAACTCATATATACACACTCACGTATGTGTACATATGCACACACATTTTAAAGGGAGTACCAGCATGACATATTTTACCAAATTATATTTCACTCTAATATGCATTTTACTGATTTTCAACAATGACAGTTTATCAGCAAAATGATTTACACTAATACTTTAGTACTATAATATGGAGGATTAATAAGACCTCTTCATGTGACAAATACACCAAAACCACCTTCTCTGTGACAATGTCTAGTGACAGCAGAATTTATTGCCAAGTGAATCAACTTCAGAGACTGTCTAAGGCGTCTTGCTGTGCCACAGCACAAGGACCTGCTCATAAATGGCTCTCACCTTTGAGGTGGCACCATGGCCAAGGCCCTCGAGGACCAGCCCCGCTCACAACCACTGCTCAGCCCCATCAGGCTTTGCTGCGCTGAGCTGCCCTCAGCATCCCAATGGACTCCTTCTTGCACCAGAGGAAGGCAGGTGTCAGGGAGGAGATGGAGATTCCCATCACCCTTTTCTTAGCGAAGCTAGCTGAGATTCTGCCCACCCCCACCGCCACCAAATCTGAAACCTTTAGAATTCACTGCAAGGAGCGATGGCAACATCTCACAATGTCTGAATCCCCATACTTTCGACCCTCGTCACTTGGGTGGGGTGTTTTAAAATCTGTTCCCAGTATGTAAACTACTGTCTGCTTGCTGAGACTGTCCAAATTTACAAGTTTGCCAATGAATGTGAACAGGTAAGAAGGGGAATATCTTCCTTATTTTATTAAGCTTGGCAAGTGGAGAAGTAGTCCATGTAATATTCCATGCTTTGTCAGGGTCTCTAAGTAGAGATGCCAACAATTCAAGGTTTTTCTTTGCAGATCATGCTAAAAGATGCCAAGCTCCTGGGCCAATTCTCCAAATAAAGTCTCCTGACCAGTTGTGTTGAGACATGAGGAGGGAGCCCTGCTTGTTGAAAGGAACGCTGAACACAAGCAAGGGACCCAGGTCAAGGCTGGAATCTGCAAGAGGAGCAGAGACTAGGGCCTGGGGACCAGACACCGCTGCCTTGACCTCATCCCTGTGCCAGGGCCAGCGAGGGCAACCTGCCAATCCTTGGAAGATCCCAGAATCGTGTGCTTGAACCATACATATATACCCAAGGCGATAATGGAACATGCCCAGTAGAGAAAGACCTGCCTAGTGTGAGTGCCCCAGGGTGACTCAATTTCCAGACCTTCGAAGGACTCAACATTTTGTTCCACTAGCTGTAGCTGAGATTGGGTTAAGAAAATTACAAATATCAGAAAATATGTTTGCCTGTGCTGAATTTTCCTATCCATTTTCACCATTTCCCTACATCTTCATTACGGAAAAGAAGTCAGGAGAGAGACGAAACATTGTGTCTCCGGTTGTTCCAGGTTATACCCCACTGGTCGTAGCGGTTCTCAGTTTTAGACTAGATATCCCCCTGCTCTCGAGGAACTTTGTCATATCATCAGTAATGTCCACTTTCTCCTTCCACTGATCCCTTATATGGCAGGTCACTGAAGCCATGGCACAAGTCACACTTTCCACCTGTAATTCAACTTCCCACGAGCCCACTCCAGAAAGGAGCCCCTACTGTTGAAAGTATGCCCATAACATGCATGAACTGGTTTTACAAGGCAGAGGGCGGCAACCTGACATGCTGCTCAATGCAATAAAAGGTTGTAAATGTGCACATACGTACTCGATATATTCCCTTTTGTTTTCATTTGTAACCATTATTTCAGACCCATTGGGCTTCAGATCCACTTGATATGTCTGTAATTACAAAGACAAAACAATGGTCACCATCACAAAGTTATTTTGCGTATTCTCAGTGAGAAATAATGTCTCACTATAACAGTAAGATAAGAAAAATTTATTCAGAAATATTTTCCAGGAAATAGGCTTTGTGTACAAGAGGATGTCTAAGGAGGTTTGTAAGTTGTTAAGATGTTATATATTTAAAGATGTTATCATTATGCCCTGGCCGGTTTGGCTCAGCAATTAGAGTGTCGGCCTGTGGTCCAGAGACCCGGGTTCGGTTCCTGCTAAGGGCATGTACCTCGGCTGCAGTTTGTCCCCGGCCCTGGTTGGGTCGTGTGGGTGGCGGCCACTTGATGTGTCCCTTTCACTGTTTCTCTCTCTCTCTCCCTCTCTCTCCCTCCTGCTCTATCTGAATAAAAAATGGAAAAATGTCCTCAGGTGAGGATAAAAAAATAAATAAATAAATAAAGATGTTATCATGAAAGGTAAATTATGGTTATTTATGAGGTTTTTTTTTAAAAATCCTCATCTAAGGATATTTTCCCATTTATCTGAAGAGTGGGAGGGAGAGAGAGAGAGAGATAAATGTTGATGTTGATGTTGCCTCCTGCACGACCCCAACCAGGGCCAGGGACTGAACGCAACCGAGGTACATGACCTTGACCAGAATCAAACTCAAGACTCTCTGGTCGGAGGGCTGATGCACTAACCACTGTGCACAGCGGCCAGGGCTATTTATGAGTTTTACTTCTTCTTCGGACATTAGCAACAATGGAGAAAAGCAATATATTTCCTTCTGTTACTCATCTATCAAGAAATTAATGTTAATTATGTTAACAGAAAAGAGAGGGTTCGTCCACCGAGACTGGAGAGATCCAAATTCTAATGCACTTTATCTGCTTCTGAAAATAAGATTTTATAGTCACAAAAAAGATGTGTGGCATTTCGTTCAAAGAGGCAAAACACAGGGACTTAAAGAATGAAGCCTAGGACACGAGGGAAGAGTCGGATCTACCTGATCGTAAAGAGCCAAGCAGCTGAGCCAAGGCCCGGCCCTCACTGCGCCCCGGGCCAGTGGTGGCTGATACCAGAGTGCATTACACAGTGACCAGAAGAGGGGGTGCAAGGCTGACCACTTTAAAAAATGCTTCTTCTCAGACATTTTTGAGGGAAAAAATACTGCTCACTACTCTGCTACTCAAAGATAACCACATCAACCTTTTGGTGGGATTCCTTCCAGTCTTTTTTCTACGCATGCCTGCTCTATCGGGGTTCACACACATCCCCCTGGGTCTTCCACAGATGCCTGTCACATGCCTGAGTTTACTGAGAAACCGGTCACATCGAATGTATGGATGCACTTGGGCCAAGTAAGCTTTGGCTCTCTCCCCGTCCCGGTGCCGCACAAACCCCTGAGATGGGCCTGAGGGCCGGGCCTGCCTCCCCTCCCAGGCCCTCCCTGCAGACAGAGTGAGCGATTACACTGGGGAACTGAGTCAGCCCACCTTCCAACCTGCCCATGTCCTGCCGTCAGGCCCTATTCCCTTGACCCGGGGGAGGAGCTGGGGCCCCCGGCCTTCCTGGAGCCACCTCTACATCTGGCTCTGCGTCTGGGTCTTTCCAGCTCCCACCAGGACCTCGCCGTGTCCCTCTTCTCTCTTCTGATTTCTAGTTCTTGCTCTTTCACTCATTCCCTTTCTCCACCCCAGTGTTACTCAGCCTTTCCTCAACGCCCCCTAAAGAGCTTTTTCAGATCCCCCCTCAATGACCCCTTTTCTCCCATGAAACCTTAATAAACAGACCCACAGTCCACCCGTGGCATAAACGGTGGCTCTTTGCAGGGCCACAAACCACTGAGACGGCTGAGACATTTTGGTCCCCTGAGAACCAATGTTCGCCCCCTTGTATCACCCAGCTGGAATGTATGTATGCCTTAGCCTTAACCCACTGACGCCTGGTCCGGCAGGCTGCCCACGCGGCTGCTGCCCACTTCCCTCCCTCCACACAGCCAGATCAGGTGTGGCTCCGGGCAACCTGCAGTGGGCATCCCTCCTTGTGCTAGCTCCGCAAGGGGGCCTCGCCCTCGTGGCTGTGTGTACGTGGGTGCACAGGCGCATGGTGTACGGTCTATTCTCTCTGCTTGGCACCTGACGGCGGTTCGAATACACTGACATTTGTTCATTTGAAACACTCCTGGTGGGTCCCAGAAACCGGCAGCCCCCATTCCTATCAACCAGAAGAAAACAAATGGCAAGTAACGGCAACAGCTGCACGTCCCTTACACGCAGCGCCGGCCCCTGCTACTTCATGGTCTGTGATTTCTAACTGGGGAATGAAAGGAAAAGAAAGACGCCCCAGCTCCAAGCACGGACGAGGGCCAAGTGCGCGTACGGACATCTTGCGTCTGTGGTAACTTCGCTCCACTGAAGAAATGACTGGATCTTTTGACACAAGACAGATCTGGGACTTCCTTTTGGATGAGAATAAACTGCCCGGTCCAGTCCATGGTTCTGCCGAGGCTGGACGGGGTGATAGGCTTGCACAGTGTGGTTCTCTCTGATGCCCACGGTGTGGGCTCAACGACTCTATTTTGAGTGCCTACCCTGTACCAGGCACTGTGCCAGGAGGCGTGGGCACAATGCTGAACAAAAGGCAGACTTGTGCTGCCATCACCAAGACTGAGCCTGGTGGGAGAAGCAGATGCTAAACACACAGTCATACAATAAATGCCACATGACCCATGGTACACGGCACAGGGAGGGAGACACTCCTGAAGTATATGGTTTGGGGTCTGAGCTGAGGATGGGAGGAAGTGTGCTCCCAACAGAAGGAGCAGCATGAGCAAAGGTCCTGAGGCTGAGAAGAAGCTTGGGACCAGACCCAGAAAGCATGGGGGCAGCTCTACCTTCCCAGGAGATGCAGCAGGCGGAGCCAGGCCATGCAGGACACCACAGGGCAAATGAAGGATCTGGGTCTTTAGCGCAAGGGCAGTGGGGAGTCTCCGATGTTTCTGGCAGAGGAATGACGAGACCATTTCGACACCCTGAAAAGACCACTCTGCCATGATGGGATGCCAAGGTGGCTAGAAAGAGGTGCATAGGAGCCTATGAGAGGAGATGGTAGCTTAGCCTGGGGTGTCAGTGGTGGGCCACACAGGGAGAAGAGAGAGACCCGAGAAAGATCTGGGAGCTAGAACGAACAGGGCTTGGTGACGGACTGGACACAGAAGATGCGGTCAATATGTGCAGCTTAATTTACGAATTTCTTCCCAGAATGAAAAACCGACACACTGGTTCCCTGTTCGTCAGGTGAGCTCTCCAAACGGGAGGCAGTGATGCAACAGGTAGGGCTCCTGGTCATCAGCTTCCTCATCTCATGGGGCGGCTCTGATTACCCCGTTATTCCACCTAGGTCAGCCCCAAAGTCAGAAGCATCTGCAGCATTAAATGAAGAGACCCGAGAGCTGACTTTAATGAATACTTAATATGAACTACAATAATCCCCGTCTTCATTAGACATCTCCTTAAAAATCCTAATAGCTTGTGGAAACAATTCCATCGCACTGTGACGAAGGAAGGGTGCCCGGGCCAGCTGCTCCTACCTTTGCGCTGCTAATGGCCGCTGAACTGTTAGTTACACGCTTTTCTGTATGTGGACACACGGAGACTTTTACTTTTGCATTTGACACACACGATTAATTATAAGTCTTCCCTGGTTCTTTATTTCTACTCCTCCCTCCATGTGTTAAAACGAAAGGAAGACACAGGTCCAGGACAGTTACCCATGGGGTGTGTCCCCTTCTGAAAGTCAGCAGGTAAGATCCTTAAATAGGTCCCGCTTAAAACAATGCCATTGCAATTACAACTGTCTTCTCACACTGGGAGCTCCTATCGCTTGTAACACCGACATTTTTCAGAAGCTAAGTGAACACCTTCCATTTGCTCAGTTAGCACTCAGTGGGTATCAGCGACCTGCTGAGCCCTGGAGATGCCCAGACCGCCTCCAGGGGTGTACAGGAGACAGAAGTCAGAGGCAGGACGAGCTATGCGAGAGAGAAGGACCACGTGTAGGTACGGAGAGGGCTCGGCAGCCAGTGACCCGGCTCGCAGCGTCTCTGGGGACGCCGTTCCAGCGCGCTGGGGCTGTGATGGTGAGGGGAAGGACCTGAAAGCTAAGGCTGAAGGTGGGTGGCGCTGGCCCGAGGCTGCGCTAACAAGGCTTAAATCACACAGAAGGTTGCACGCCCAGAAGAACTGTTGTTCAGGGGAAAGACATGCTCAGGTCTGCTTTCCAGAACCACTGCATATGGGGCGTACCTGGGGGCATTAGAGGAGGAGCTGGGGGGGGTGTACGGGAACCAGGGGGCCTCGGATGGCAGCCAAGGAGCCAGCAGAGCCTGCGAGACCAGCTGGACATGGAAGATGGGACGTGAAGAGAAAGAGGGAAGATTCGAGATGAGCCCGAGCTTCAGGCTGGAGGGGACGGTGGCCCGTGGAGTAGCCCCGAGTGCATGTGGGGGTTGGGAGGAGGAAATGGCTTTGGTCTGGGGAACCGGTGGGCTTTCGGGAGAAGGGTAAGGGAGGCGGTCATTCGGAGACTGGAAGGAAGGTGTGGACTGGAAGAGAAGGCTGGTGGCGAACAGCACAGAGGTGGACGTAGTTGGAGACACAGACATGGATGAGGCCACCCAGCGGGCATGGGCAGAGGGGGATGGCTGAGGACCATCTGTGTCTCGGGGTCCACAGAGGCAGCGTGTCCTTTACGGAGACAGAAAATAAAGGGGCAAGAGCCGTGGGAGAAGGAGTGAAGGGTGAAGACACCGTGACCTCAGGCACCCCCGGGACAGTGGGCAGCTAGCATGCGGGGAGGCAGACAAAGGCTGGGGACAGCTGGTGTGCTCAGCCCCGGGGAGGCCACTGGGAGCCTGAGGGGACAGCTGGGTGGGGAGGGGGCAGGACTCCCACGGAGGGCAGCAGTTTCCATCCGTCCGTGAAGACCCTTCCACGAAGTGCAAGAGCAAAGGGGGCCACGATGCGTTGAACGGACACTGACCTCTGACATTAAGTCACAGGTTCTCTCCTCTGCTGCCTGAGGTTCCAGGAACTGCACCCAACCAGGCAGGAAGGAAACAGATTCTCCTGTCCCACCCCCGCAAGGACGCCCCCTGGTTCCAGGTCCTGGCTCAGGCACATGCACCAGCAATGGTGGTGTCCATGTCACCCTTCTCTTGCTCAACAGTTTTCGCGTGAATTCCTTCATATTTGGTGACAGCAGCTTCTTTTCTCTGAGACTGTGAACCCAGGAGGGCAGTGGCCCGATTCCCAATGTCCCCTGTGAACCGAGCCCAGCGTCGTGCCGTGAGAGAGACCCTGGACCTTTTTCCTAACGAGGAGTAAACTTGTAATGATCTCTGCAGCGGCAAGGCACCGATCTATTTCATTTTCCACATCTTTAAGATCGGCCCCGTGATCCCATTAATGTCCAGGCCATGCAGACCTGGTCTGGGAGGTGGACAACAGCTGTGCTGTTGTGGAAGGATGGGTCGCAGGCCTGGAGATCCTTGGGAAGCCCTCCCGGGAAGTACTGTTATCACAGGTTATCACAGCTGAACAGAGCTCTCAGGTTTCAGACAAACACATCCTACAGAACTTTCGGGTGGTGATGAAAATTCCAAGCAGGTGACTTTGTCTCTGACGCTGACCCCCAGCCTTAATGGGTGTGGTCACAAAAAAAGAAGGGATGGTGGAGAAACCTGAGCCTGCTGGGCACCAGAAGACAGATGGCAACAGAACCGTTACGCAGAGAAAACACAAAAACAAAGCCAAGGCCTCCAACATCGCCTACTCCTGCCACGTGTTTACGTCGCGAAGTAAACACACGATTCTGTGAAGTACCTAAATCCCAAAAGCAAGGCACACACACTGACGTTCAGACTTGCTTTCGATTAGAAGCAGGTGCCCGTCCAGGCCCAGAGGCCTTAGGATTTCGTAACTTGGTCGGAATTGGGGCTTCACTTCCTGGCGTAACAGTAAGGTGCTGCTACAACGAGATGGTGATGAACATCTAGAGCGCCTCATGGTGGTTTTTAATTGTTCAGAAAAGTTGTGTTACAACCTGTGCACAAGCAAAGACATTTTCAAAGTCTTTGAAAGAGGGGCTCCTGGGGTCCCCCGGACATACCTGTCCGAAGTTTTCTTCATCGATACAGAACATCAGGTCCAGTTCAGTGGGATCATTCTCTAGGATCCATTTCAAAGAGTTGTAATATTCACTATCCTGCAGAAATGACACAGAAATTAAAATTAACTTTTTTTTTCAAAATACAAACCTGTTTGACTTTAAACACTTAAGTCTAATGTAATCCCATTCACACTGCTCAAGAATTAGTCACTAATGTAATGTTTTCCGCCCCATGCCAAACTTACTCTCCCCTTTAATTTAAAATACAAACCCAAACAATGTTTTAGGAGCAACAGGGGTTTGCAGTTGAATCCTGTCCTCTGTGGAGTGTGGAGGAGGTGACCTGCTCTGAGTGGCAGTCATCAGACTATAGAAGTGAACGTGTAAGATGAATATACTTCCTATCCCTCAAGAGTGAAAATCTCAGAGGACATGGGAAGGAAGAGAACACTCTCAGTAATTAAGTATCAATGGTTTTAAGCCCGCCCGTCCCCGTGCGACCACTGCTCTCTGCAAACCGGTCAGTGTGAGCACACGGGAGGACCCGAACGAGGCCTCAGAGGCCTGGCCGCCTCCTCCGGGACTCCAGTGCTGGGCCCGGCAGCCTCTCAAAGGCAGAGGAGAATGTGTGCACCATCTATCTGTAGCCTGTGGGACAGAATTATTTTAGACTTGAAGACATGCCTATTTCCTCGCTTCCTCACCAGACGATCAGAAAAGCATCAAGTGGAAGTCAGGTGAAAGTGGAAAAGACCCCTGAGCCCGGTCAGCAGCCCTCCCACGGGAAAACCAGTGAGAGGCCGTCAGTGATGCTCAGGAATGACTATTTGGGCTCACAGACCAACCACACAAGACACACAGCCAGCATCACCAAGGCCAAGGCGACACAGATGCCTTCGGACGCCAGCGACAGGACATGACAGCAGAGCTACCGACCCTGTAAGGACAAAGATGCTTCTCCGTGGCCCTGTGAGTGGGCGGGGGCTTGGGCAAACGCCCCCAAGCTCAGAGGTAGCCAGTGGGGGTACAGGTCAAAGAAAAACAGAAGCAAAAAGTAGGTTATGAAAAAAGCATCCATTTTTGTTTCTATAGAAAAGTCCTCAGCTCTAAAGTGGTCAGCCTAGATGAACTGAGCTAAAAGCAGCAAGGAGACCCAGACCCCTCCCTTGTATTCCTCCCCACAGGCTCCGTCACTCACCCCCACGTCTGGACTGACTACACCTCTGCCCTGTATCTACTGCTTTGGCCCATGTCCGCGCCGTTTTTTGAGGTCAAAAAACTGAGGAATAGCAGACGAGTCTCTAAATGTTCAGTATGAACAGTTTTCCGTGCAAAACAAGGGCTGCACTGAGGTCTCCAGGTGCCCTTTGGATTTAATTTGGTCACACCAATCCTGGGTAGGCGGAGGTAACTGAGGTCTGGGAGTATCCAACCCCAGAACCATGCTTCTAGTTCATGGGAAGCAAGATTTGCTTGTTAGAAAAATTAGGGGGGGGTCAATTAAACTCACAAACAATTAAGTGTTCCCTATTATTCACATCGAATGGCGACACCCACAAAGACGACAACATGGTCACAGCTGCTTCCCGGAGGGCTCGGGTGGCCCGCGATGCCCAGTGGGAGGTATTTACTCACCACAGACTCCATGTCGTTCAGAGTTATCTGCTTTCCCAGCATCATTTTGTAAAACGGCCTAATGAAGAAACCTAAAATAGGATGAAAACGGGATCAGTTTCGAATTGTTGCGACTTCTGTGCCTCGGCAGTGAAATGCAAGATGAACCTGCCTTCGGTTTGAATGAGGGACCGACAACCATCAAAGACCCTAGAGCAATCTGTGACCAAGCCTGTTTCCTCGGGAGGGGCTTGGTGAGGAGGGCACTTCCACTAGTAGAGGTGGGATCAGCAGAAAGGGGTCAAAAGGCGCCCGGGAGGTTGTGGGTGACAAACAAGCCTCAGGAGCCAGCAGGATTCTGCGGTACAAAGAGGCACATGAACGGGGACAGAGGGTGCTCCGAGCAGAGGGACACGAGTGGGGCTCTCGGTGGGCTGTCAGGGCGGAAGCGCAGGGTGTCCTGGGAGGACAGGCCGGAGAAGGGACTGGGCAGCATGGCTTGCCGGGCTCGGGACAGTCTGGGCTGCTGCCTGAGTGAAGGCGACGGGCAGTCACCGGAAGGTCAGGAAGAAATTCCATGTGCATTTCAGACCACTGCTGGGGCCGGAGTGGGGAGAAAAAGCAGGACGGGGACAGGAAGGACACGCGGGAGACCACTTAGAAGGCTGTGCAATCTTCCAGGAAGGGCTGGTGAAGGCCTGAGTGAGGCCACCAAGAGGGCCCCCCAATCCACCTTGTCCACAGGCAAGTCAGCATCATACGCCTCCTCGCCGGGGGTGCTGGAACCTAGTCCCCACCCCATCTAATCAGTCGCCCTCCTCTGCACCGATTCCTACTCGCGTTGGCTCAGGGGCCCGAAGGCTGCAGACTCATACACCTTCGGTGTCTAGGGAGGTGGAGGATGACACTGGTATGAGGGACTGTGGACTGCCCTGTGGCCATGTGCGCTCTGCCTGCAGGACACTTGCAGTGTTAAGGAACAGGACCCTGCTGGCCACAATCTGTGGGCGTTCTGGCTCGGTTCTGCAGCTCCTCACGCACAGCGGCACACCTGCAGCTGTCTCCTAGGCTCCCCCACTGGTCCCTGCTTCTCTCCATCACTCCCTCCACCAGCCTTGACTCAGCCCGTCCTTGCTCTTCGGAAACGGTCCCAGCTTCTAAACGCTCAAATCCCATCCCTAATCCCAGTAAAGTGCCCCGGCCTTCCAGCCGAATCAGCGTCCCCTTGAAGGGCTCCCTGCGTCCCTTCCGCTTGGACTCTCACTGTGAGTCTCTGGTTTTGGTTTGCCCACTGGATTATAAGTTCACTGAGGTCAGGGTTGTGTCTGACACTTCTCCACAGTTCCCTGTAGCCACTAGGAATGTCTCCTCACTCGGCAGGACGTACACAGACTGGCCTTCTAATAAAGGGTGAAGTGAATTCGGACAGCTGAAATAACCTATGGCAGGGCTCAGTGCAGCTAACTGAAATATATCCATACGACTTACATACAGAGAGAGCGTAGGTTCTTTCTCAGGAAAAAAAAAAAGTGCTTATTTTCCCAACTAAAAATAAAACGCTGAAATCAGCGGGTCAAAATCAGCAAGCAATTACCAATAAAAATACATTCACGAATAAAGTACAAAAGGTACATCCGTTATTTACTGGAATAACTAAGGTTCCACCGATGCAATTAACATGCTTTCCCTGGAACTCTCGTGCCACAGTAACTGCAATGTCAGCCTCCAATCTTATTCTGGCTTCTATTCTCAACCGTTTCACCCGCGAACCCTTAAAAGACATTTCTGGTTCTCCTTTCTCAATGATTTTCTATAGTGTCCTCTCAAAGGCAGTACTTCTGAAATGGCCAAATCCATAAGAAGCCTCTATTATAAGCCTATAGACATAGATGGGGAGGCGGTTTGGCCTCAAACTTCCAAGGTACCCTGAAATTCTTCCATGGCTTTGAGGTTCTAGATAAGAACAAGATACTTTGGTGTCATTTGTGTAGCGGAGACCACAGGGTCAAGGTCTTCGCTGAGTTATAACATCCCTTTGAAATTATTGACAGTCTCTTCACATTCAAATAAAACAATACTTTGAAAGAGTGGCAGGACAATGGATGAATCGGATCATTTTGATTAATTTTTCAATTAGCTTTTCCATCTGTCACCAAATCAAGCTCCCGCTAAAAAAAAAAATTAGAAGTTATTCCGAAAAGCAGAAAATGCACAATCACAGAATGTTCTGTGCTCCATACTTGTTCCTCTTGTCAAAAAATGTTTCAGCTGTGTGCTGACACTACACTGCCAGTGCTCTAATGAGGTGACACCAGGGAACACGCCTCCACTAAGGGCAAAACAGAAAAATAATGGATTGAATAACACAGCACCGGTGGAGCTTTTGCTTAACATCTAGGATGTGGAGGATGAGTCACCTAACGAGGAACCGCACACAGCACTGTCCTATTTTTATGATGTCAAGACTTTTCAATAACTCACCATCTAAAAGTTTCCCGTGAAATACCGCCAGGCCAGCAACTCTCCCGATAAAAGTGAAATAGGACAGGTGGTCTTCATTACAGAGGCCCGAATTGGGATTGATCTGAAGTGTGTAGTTGTCCCTTGGGGAAGGAAGAGAGAGAAAAAGCCCAATCATTATTTTTAAAGAAGAAATGCAAGAATTTGCATTTTCCTTTGCCACCTGTCACTGGCTTTTTTGGCCATTCTATCCTGATGGGCAAGGGATAGAGAATGTGATTTAGCCTCTTTCTGCCACCAGTGACTGGGGTCCTATGAAGCTGGTACATATGCCCTTCGTAAGTTAAACCATAAGGAAGTGTTGATATTGGACTATTTTTGAGCTACACAAAGGCCAGTTCCATATGGTGCAGCCAAGCGTCTTGGGAAGATGCTAATAACCACAAAGGACTGTGCTGGGCCTGGCGATGGACTTGAGTCCTTCAGGTTCTCTGAGGAGGAGAAGCTTGTTCCTTTGAGAGGTGTTTGGCTTGGAGATGAAGGTCTGTCCTCTGGGCCCCAAGGCACTGGTAACAGCAGAGGGCTGTCTTGATGACGGAAACCACAGCAATGCTCACATGTCCGTCTTTGGTCTCGACACTGTGAGGATCGGTGGTTTTCCAACTGGGTTCCACAGCCAGGTTCTTTCAGGGGATCTTTGGGACTGTAGGTGAGAGGTGAGAATCCTGCCCCCGCCACCCTGCCGGCCACTTGAGTGGTTTTGCCCAGTTTTACATAGCGAGCTTTCTCACGGGACGACAAACGACGGTAACAAGCAAGCTAGGAGACTCTTGGCTGGAGCAACTGGGCGGGATCCTGAGGCTGCCTTCCAACAGAGCCTGGGAGACAGGTGGCCGGAGCGGGAAAACCCATGTCCCCTCAGAGCAGGGGTTGCCTTTCAGCAAGGTCAACCACCATTCCACGGGGCACGTGGGTGAGCAGCCTGGGGGAGGAACAGCTGGCTTTGTAAGCAGCCAGTGTTGAGTCCCGAGAAAGCAGATGCATCTTAGTTTCCACGCCTGGCAGTGATGAACTCCCGACACACAGGGGACCTGGTTCTTCCCCCACAGGCCCAGGGCATGGTCCTCTGATCTTGAAGAATGGGTCCTCCTCAAAGTCATCAGAATTTTCCTTGAGCTAGCGTAACTTCGGGAACGATTTTTGTCTATGAGGTGACAATGACTTTCTGAATTCTGACTCAAATCCTCCCAAATTTACAACATTACAAATGAAAACGAACTCTTGTTCCTCACTGTAAGTACCCAGCACATTTTTCACTTTCAATTATGTGAACCCAACAGATCAGAGAAGGATCATTTTTAGGTGTTCACAGAGTACATTATTCTAGACTTATAAGGGGTGTGTGGGTTGCCGCTGAGGGTGGGGGTGGAGGTGGAGGTGGGGACTGAATCCGCAGTGTTAATTCATTTCAAATGCGTGAGCTGCTTATTCTTTCATTAAGCTGAAACTGCGAGAGCGAAACCGTTTTGGGGGGACACGTTCCGAAGTCACTGCACACACTTACGTTGCAGAGTACTCGAAGAGACCATAGTAGGGGTTGAACATCTCTTTGGACAGTAAGAAGAACCATTCTCTGGCCACGCCCCCATAGTCGAGACCTTTCTCAGATTCAAATTCAATCCACAGCCTCGCTTTTAGGACATCTGGTCTTTTCACAGACATGATTCTCCGGTAGGACTCTTCAAAAATGTTATTTCTGTGAAGTTTCATTTCAAACCTATTTGGAATATCAGCCTACACAAAAGAAAAAAAAGAAAGGCACATGATCACACAGTGAATACGCACCTTGCCTCCAAGAACAAAACGATGGCACTGTTCACAGACGAGCAGAGGTGCCGGCTGAGTGTCCCTCCCTTGCAGTTGTTCACACAGACAGAGAGCCCTTGAGCCACCGGCAGCCACCAGCACCGTCAGGCTGAGCCAGCGACATGCCGCAGGCGGACCTCTGCTGAGTGGACAATCATCCTTTCCCCCTTTTGTGAACAACTGTGGGCGCTCACCCACCCGCTAGCAACTGAAATATGGTCAACTCTTCACTCTATTTCTGTCACAGAACGCAGCTTCAGTCCAGGTGATCAAAACCCAGAACCATCCCCACCTGGCCAGGATGGGAGCACCCTCTGCTCTAGTAGGGGTTCTAGCTGGCAGACGGGATCCATGAAGCCCACAAGGTGATTCTGTTGCCATGGGGAAAGGGACCCTGGCTGTCATGCCAAGGTGTGTGAAAGCATCCCAAAGGCCACAGTTAATAAACAAGGGACGGGGACAAGCTCGCCATAAAATCGGTTTTGCAGAGTCAGTTAGTGAAAGTGCCACGCAGGGTGAGACGGAGTGAAACCCCCAAAGACATCAATTGTTACTGCGGGGAATGCAGGGAGCTCACAGAGAAACTTTGTGGGGATTTTATGTGTTCAAATCTGAGTCATTCCAAAAGTAGTGAGCCAAGAGCTAGTTGACTCAGGATGTTGGCAGAGAGAACAGAACCCGTAGGGGAGCTCCGGAGGCTGACACCGTTTCTTAGGCATCATTGTATCCCCAGTGCCTCATCCCCAGCAGACGCCCCGACGTGAGGCCCCAGCTGAAGGAACACAGCAACTTCAAACACTGCCTGGGTCTCTCCGTCCTGTAGAAATCTTAGAGTTCCCCAGTGAGAATGTTCATCTGAAAACTACACAGGGCCTTAATATGCCACATATTACAATGATAAATCATAAATTATATGGCTATAAATATTGTAATTAAAATTATACTTCTGAGTTTAAAGGGAAGGACTTGAATAGTTTTCTAACTAGGGTCTAGGTTTTATTGAATATGATCCCCACAAGCAATTTGTATAGGTTTCTTTGAATTTTTTGACTAGGTTCCGAATTATTTTATTTCCCATAAAATCATTTCTACCTTTTCACATATTACATAAGAAATGACCCTTCGGGTGACTTGATATGTAATACTGGTCAACCTTCACTTACCATTTCTGTTAAAAAGAAAAATTCGGACTGAAGATCCAGGTGAAAAAAGGAAGGTGATGTTTTAGTTTACACAGAAAAGTAACAAACAAGCTGTCCCCACTGAAGTACCTTTGCTAACTTACAAAGGCTATAAAACAGCACTTTTGGAAGGCATGTTACTCACAGGTTTCTTTAATTTCTTCCTAAAGTAGTCATATTTCTGCTTAAATTCTCTGGAGTAAGGAACCGCCTAGAAGATAAATTTATAAATGTAAATAATACGCTTGCAATTTTATGTAAACTGAGCCAACATTCAGAGAACTTCATGAATCATACACCTTAAAATTCTCATTCTTCATATTATCAGTGAAATTTACATCTACATAGCACATGGGAAAGTTGTACAAATGACTAAAGCAAATCAGCACTGAGTAGGGCGTTCACCCCTGAAAACAACTATATTGACAGTCAAGAAGTTATTAGGGATCTGCTACATAAAATACACTTTCCAGTGTGACTTCTGTCTGAAGATGCATCAGGGTATAATCTTTTTCGTTGTGGTTGTTATTGAGATAAAAGTTATTGGCTATGATACTTTAATATACAACCCAAAAGTGACCTGTGCTGTCATTTTGAAAAGACTAATCATGCTTTTAAAAATCTTTGGGAGGAAATATAATAAGCAGAAAGGCAAATGGGCTGACATTCTTATCAAGGACGTAAGACCAGGTGGAGAGCACTCTGGAGAAGTACCCTGTTTCGGAGTCAGAAGGCTGGCCCTTACTATTTCGTCAGTAGTTGTGGGCAATGGTTTCCTCACATCTTAATGCCTTGTCTATGCAGCAGGGATGGTGCCACAGGAGTGGGCTCAGTAACTGAGCTACCATTACTCTGAAGTTCTGGAATCTCTTTAGGCAAAGCAAGTGACATTTTAATATAGTCATTTAAATATTCTCCACTTGCTATGTTACAAAGTAGCTGGCACTAGCCAGAGCCCTGACTTCAGACTACTGAAAGGCTCACTTTTTTTTTTTTTAATGAAGCAGAAAGGACTGGCTTTTGCATATACATGGACATAATGGTGGCAGCTGCATACTCAGAATGACTCTGCTTTTTTGGCAAACCGTGTGCATTTGAGCAAGAATAGTTCTGCTGACAGCACTTTGGGGTAAGTTAATAAAATATACTGATCCTTAGTAAAGTGTCTCCAGACTCCAAACCTTCTGCCTTCACACTGCTTATTCCTGACCAGATAGAGGAGAGATGGAAACCATAAGCCTCCCTCCTTCACACTTTTTTAAAGATAATCACACAAATAACTCAGCCAAAACCAGAACAAATAACCACTCAGAGCAAACACTGATCATGTCAGTGTTTCGCTTTGTAAGTTAAGAGCAGTAGACATCATGTTGATATATCTCAAGACCATTTATACTACTATGGCCTCTTCTTAGTTTTCAATCCACTCTTCATTTGCTTTTCCACTGAATACAGGATTTGACCACATATCATGTTTACTGTGGACAGTGTCCAGTCTGACAAAATTGTGTATGAATTCTTATTCTAGAAAAGGTAGAAATTTAGTCAATATCTGGACAACCACCAGTATAAGAAAAGGATACAACGTTCAGACATAAGCCAATAAAGACATCATCAAGTTCTTTGCTTTGCCAATCCTACATCCCATAGCAAACTAAGATTTTCAATCTAGTTCATTTATTCACTCTTTGGTGGTTCATTCCCTGATCTGCTGAACAGGTATTTCTTGAGCGCCTCGTCTGTGTCAAGCATGTTAGGTGCTAGGGAAACAACAGTACATCAACCAAAGGGTTCCTTCCCTATTCTCTCCTGGAGCTTCTAAGCTGCTGTGAGCAACAGGTAATAAGAAATAGGTGAAGAAGTAGTGGTGGACGCTAGGAGAAAGAAATGATCGAGTTCGAGGGAGGCTATTTTGTACGAGGTGGTCAGGGAAGGCATTCTGAGAAAGAGACATCTGAGCGGAAACCACTGACAGGAGGGCACAGTTCTGCAGGGACAGTGGGTGCAAAGCCTTGAGAAGGCAAAGTATTTGGCTGATGTTCTATGGTTGACTGTGGTAGAGGGGAATTAACCTAAAAAATGTACTTCCTTTCATTACCCAGGCCAGCTCTAGAGACCCTGACTCCTGGAACAGTCTCTCCAGCCAGCCAGCCCTGCGCCGCCCTCTCCTTAATGGCACTGCGTCCCAGGGAAGCAAAGGATTTGACTGGAACTTGAAGGTACTTCCGTTTCCACAAGTCTACAATTCCCAGCAATTACTTTTTGTTTTAGTTTCCCCCCTGAAAATGTTGAGAAAAGGCTTAAACATTCATCATTGTGAAGTTCAGTAGTCTTAAATGACAAACTTCCTATAGAATTTATTGCAAAATGTCGCCCCTAGACTGTGTTCTCCATTCCCTTGTCTGACTTATACCGTGGTAGGTGCTGACTAGATGTGGGAGGAAAGAGGATGCTGGGATATTTCTGGCCTTTCTACTTGTGTGGAATGATGCACAAATGTTGAGAAATCATTATCCTCCTCCATCTAGAGGAAGTTCTTCTAAAGGAAGAAGAATAGGTTTTTATATCCTCCTCCTAAAAATTACATGTGGCGCGTATTTCTTGTTTTGGCCAAATCTGGCATCTCATTTTCTTCCATGTGATATAACTTGTAAAATAAGCCCGTTAAAAACAAAACTATGTCTGTTGATTAAAGCCCTTTTGCTTTGAATTACATATGCTTTCTCTTTTGAGCAAAATGAAAATCTGACTTATCGTGTGCGATGGTTCTCAAGGTTTGCATGTCGTTACTGCCCAGGGATACCGGGGCCCTTAGGAGACAAGGGCACAGGGTCACTGGATGAGGCTGGCACACCTGGGCTCTAGTCCTGATTCTGACATTTGCTGGACGTTTTGGCAACACAATTAGTGTTCTGCTTCTTCTGACAAATTGGGAATAACAACATGTTCCCTGCCTTCTGGGGGGACTGCTGAGAGTGTCAAAGCAGCTGATTATAAAGTTCTCGGAAAAGTACAAAGTACCACAGAAGCAGGAGATAGTTCTCCTAAGCGCACAAGCATGGGGAGCACGTCACAAATGCGTTGAATGGTGACACTCGTTAGACAGACAGCATACTGATGAACAGTGATGTGTGCTGGGCTGACACAGAAAGGGTACCCCCCCCAACACATATTTTTAAAGCTTGGGAAAAAGAGAAAATCTAGGTACCAGAGAAACAGAAAGACTCAAAATAGAGAAATAAGGGGGCCCTGGACACAGGTGTTGGTGCTTGGGTTTTCATCCTCACATCGGGGGCACAGAACTCGGCCAACAGTCTGTGACTCAGAGAGCTGGGACAGAGTTCCCTGCTCAAACTTACACTTGAAAAGGGGACAAGAAAACTCTACCCACTGGCCCGGGAAAGTTGCAAGGAAGCTTACCTTCTGTCCAGGACCATAAATGGAAGAAAAAGAAAAAGAAACAGACCTGTAATAAATTCATACTCCAAGGCTACACCAAAGTGGGTATGAAATCCATAGTTATGGTAATTGGGGGTGAATGAACCCAAGCTAAATAGTTAACAGAAAATACAGGTCAGAACTTATAAAAGCCCCATGTGGAAAAAAAGAAATGAATATGAGCACGCACACACATTATAAACTGAACTAGGTAATGGACTACCACTGAGGAGAGTCTACAGATATAACAAGTGGGGACATTTCATGTTCCTGGGAACAGAGATAATAGGACAATCTGAAAAAGGCTATAAAAGAGGCAATTTTTAAGAATGATTAAAGAGTTGGAAATATAAATTAAAAAAATAAATAAATAAAAGAAAAGGACAAAAAATAGCTAAAGAGATTAAGCAAATTTAAAAAGAGCAAATAGAACTTTGAGCTATTAAACAGTCACTGAAATGATAGACAAATAGACTGATAAAGACTAGATTACATAAAAGTTTAAGATAGAATTAACTGGAAGAGCTGAGCCCACTATACAGCAATGAAAGAGAGGTGGAAATATGAAAGCTAAGAGATAAGGAAGACAGTTGTGAAAGTGAACTGATTATTCAAGTTACTGATACAGATATTTTAAAATGGAAAAGATGCAACATGTAAATAACTGCTGAGAATTTTCCAGAACAGAGAAAAGACATGGTCCACATATTAAAGAATCACAATGAGTCCAAAGCAGAATTTTTAAAAATCTACACTTATGATATAGTAAAATTATAGAATATCTAAGACAGAGAAAAATTCAAAATCACCAGAGAAAAGAGTTACCCATAAAAAAAGATAATTAGATTGATAACAAACTTCTCATCATCAATTACTAAGACCAGAAAACATGAAAGAATATCTCCAAGGTACTGAAGAAAAGTAACTGTTAATCAAGAATTCTATAACGAGCTAAACTATCATTTCACAGAGAGGTCAAATACGTCCTCTCAGACTAAGCGAATTTACCCCTAAGGCTCCCACTGAAATTGCTGCTAGACCAGAGGTTCTCAAACTTAAGTGAACACCAGAATCCCTGGGAGGGTTTGTTAAAACACAGATGGCTGGGCCTACTCCCAACATTGCTAGTTTTCAGTAGGTCTGGGATGGGGCTAAAAATCTGCATTTCTAACAAGTTTCTGGATGATACCGATGCTCCTGATCTGTAGACCATACTTTGTGAACTATGAACTAGAGGTTATATGTCATTAAGAACAAAATTTAACCTAGAGAAAAGAGGAGGCAAGGATCAGTGGTGGGCAAAGAAATATGTTTACATCTAAGTAAAATTAGGTTAGCATTGCCTGTTACTAATGATGACTTGGAAAGTTTAAAGACAAGGTAGTTATTTTCTTTTGAATCCTCACCCAAGGGTATATTTCTACTGATTTTGAGAGAGAGAGAGAGAGAGAGAGAGATCAGTTGTCTCCTGTACTAACCCTGACTGGGGATGGAACCTAGGTATGTGCCCTTACTGGAAATCAAACTGGCAACCTTTCAGGGTATAGAACAACACTCCAACCAAGCCACCTGGCCACGGCTAAAGACAAGGGAGTTTTACAATTCCACTGAACAATGGAAAATGGGAGTGGGAAGGATGGCACTCATGTTCCCTAAAGGTCCACAGTATCCAGGAGGAGAGTAGAGAGTGATTCATTTTGACATTAAGTCAAGTATATTGGTTAAAAATTTTAATGTGAGCACTAAGAGAACAGAAATAAAAAATACAACGTCCAAGCAAGAATAAAAATAAGAGACAATAAAGTGTACTCTGTCGATCGAATAGAAGGTAAGAAAAGGAAAAAAACAAACAAACAAAAAACATAGCAAGAGACAGAAAGGATGTCCTAGGCAAATACTAATGGAGAGAAAATGAATGTAATGATTGACAAAGCCAGTCACTGTGGGAGTGTGACACAGCTGTCTTGATTAGGTAAAACAGCCAGGAAAATGTAGAAATGGAGCTGGAGAATTAAACACCACAGGCTTGATCTAATGATACACGTATAAAGAACTCTATACCCAAGAAAGACAGAACACACATTCTTTTCAAACACAAAAGAACATTTACAAAGCCTCCAAAAGAAGTTTCAAATATCTGATAATCAATATTCCATATTCAATATTCTCTGACCATAATGTAATAAAATTAGAACTCAGTAAGAAACAGATAGGCAAAAATTCTCCCATAGTCTTAGAAACTAAAAAGCACATTCTAAATAGCTTATTAGCCAAGGAGAAAAGTCATATGAAAATTACCCAATATTTAAAACTACATGACAACAAAGGCAAGATGTCTACACTAAGTTGATAATTACCTAATTAAACATGCTCTTATTGAAAGGAATAACACTAATAATAATAAGAGTACACCAGGCTCTTTAAGAACACAAGGTATCAGAGATCTTTCTTGGGGGCAAATCTACCTGGATTTATGACACTATACAATTTTCAATAGTAACAAGACTATGTGCTTGAGGGAATGTAGATGATCAATAAACCATAAAAAAGACTTGGAAAAGACTGAGAAATATCATGTCACAAGTCTTCTGCCAGCTGAAATCAGCTCTGTTCCTTGAATTTACCTGTTTCTTATGATGGAGAAGAGAAAATGCTATTCTAACAACTTACTGTGATTGCGAATAAATAAAAATGAAAGCCATGGAAGAATGGCAGGCATTTATTAAGCTACATGGAGGAAAAGCAACTGACAGTCTGTTTGAACCCAGGTATTACTGGGTACTTCGTAAACTTTGTAGCAAAGCAGCTGAACAAATCGGATGAACAGATCCAACAAGTAACCAAAGGGATGGCGGGGATCAAGGTGCACTTGCATTATAATATTATTTAAGTTTTCAAATAGACTTACCTTTATAATTCAAAATATAATTTGAACTGGATCAGATTAAAGCCATAAAATTAGTATTTTAAATATACCCACTGGCCTCTTAGCTCAGCGCTCAATATAATAAAGGTAACTTCCTTTTGCTCCTCCAGTTTTTAAAAGAATCCCAAACTTGCAATCTTCTGTGATCCCAGTACCTTTCCTGTAATTCCAAATCATCGCCTTGCACTTATAATCAGTGACATGGAAAGTTCCCCGCCGATGAGATGAGCGTGGCCCCATTCTACAAACTCCGCCCCGGAGTTGGGTACCAAGTGTCCATTACTGCCGAGTGACCCGGGGGTTCTCACTCTTCCTTACGAACAGTGTGCGGCAGCATTTTAAGGGGGCAGCACCATACCTAAGGCAGAACTGGTTCTTTTCCCACCTGGCACACACGAAGGGACTATGAGAAAGTTAGTGGGTCAGCGGAGATAAAGATTCTTATCTTATCTGCCAGCTCCAGAGGTTAGCGACAACCTCCCCCAAACCTTTACAGATTTTCAGCGCTGGAAGAGATTCAGAATACAGCTTAGATTTGTTAGCATGCATGAACCGCCCTTGGCCTAAAGAAATGACAAAATTCTGCAAAAACAGGGCTGGCTTTGCCTCAGACAGAAAGGAAGAGAGGACAATTTGATTGTTTCACTTATATTTTATTATTATTTGTTTAATAGTTATTATTAATTAATTTATTTATTTTTGATCCTTACCCAAGGGTATGTTTTACTGATTTTTAGAGAGAGGGGAAGGGAGAGGGAGAGAAACAGAGACAGAGACAGAGACAGAGATACAGATACAGATACAGAGAGAGAGAGAACATCGATGTATGAGAAACATCGATCAGTTGCCTCCCGTACGCGCCCCCACCGGGGATCGAACCCACAACCTTTCGGTGTACAGGACGACGCTCCAACCAACTGAGCCACACCGGCCAGGGCTGATTGTTACACTTATAATCCACCCTTTTATAATGGAGAAAAGAAAATGTTTAGTTTAGCTACCATGATCACACCATTTTCTTTTCCTTTATAACGACAGCCACGTGAAAAGGCAAACGCAGCTGTACCTCACCCGGCAGTTCCCATGAGGAGGAGGCAGGAGTAAGTAAACTACTCAGTTACACCAAGGTGAGCAGCAATATACAAGAACTGTGTGTTTTGATGCAACCAAAATATTACACTGAAGATTCAGAACTTGAGAATACTGACCGGGCCAGTAATGGCTGGGTTCTGCAGTCTTGGGTCTTCCCACTGAGTTATTTTGCTATCTGAAAATTAATATTAAAAAAAAAAAAAAATCAGCATATTAGTTCAAATTTATTGTATGTCAAAAATGTTTTAGAAATCATTACTTCTGAGTTTTTCAAAAGCTGGCTAGTACCCCAAAGATAATATCTTAGTATTTCATGGTTAGAAGAGAATGATAGTTTATACGGCAAACCTCCTACATAAATGTTTAGTTAAAAACACTCAATCAAAAATGCACAACTAAAGTAAAACCATCTATTTAGACCATTTTTGGCAAGCAATTTGCTGAAATTTCGATTATAAACCCCTGTTCTTTCAAGGATTTATAACTTGATCTTGATTTTCATTTAATTGAAAAAAGGCACAAAAAGTCTTAGTCCACCAAAAGTGAACACACATGAGTTTTTCTCATTTCAAATGTTTTTGCTATGCTCATGGTCCTGAAAAGGTGTTTTCAGTGAAGAATCCTACGCTGAACAAAAGAAGAATGCATTTCATGTGCCACTCATGTGCACACAACAATGCAAGCAGCGCACAGGTAAGGCAGTCCGAAAAACTAGGATTAGATACTTCCCAGGAAGATTCCAGAGAAACCCTTCCCTTTTGGCCAACTTGGCGAGAAGTGGTTTTCTTTCTTCCAAAAGAGTCGATGTTAAGAAGATTGTTCAATGCCACCTGCACCTCTACTGCAGTGGTGTAGGTGAAAATGTACAGCAGCCACCCTGTGTCACCTGAGATCGTGACTGTGCATAATTATAAAGACTTCAGGGATTACTGTGTGTGTGTGCGTGTGTGTGTATGTGTGTGGACAGGGATGAACTCACATGAAAGATAATGGGAAGGATAGACTGAGGGAGAATGAGTTCTTTCTGGAGTTTTAGGAAATTTAAGTTGGTTTTAAAAATGGGAAATTATTTAAGAAAAATCTTGATTGTAATTATTTCCTGTAAACTCTGTTAATGAACTGATAAGAAAAACAAATAAATTTGGTTTTCATGAACATACCCAGAAAATGTTCAGAGGCTGGTATTACAATTATTTTAATAAAGGAGAGGTAACCTTTTAAAATAAAGTTACCAAAGCACATGGTGATTCTAGACTTGTGCCTGCTGGAAGACAATTTACATGAAATGTTTCAACTGTTCTAGAGAACCCTGCCTGTCCGTCACCTTGAAGAGAAGATTTTGGAAAGTAAAGTTGCTACTTTACTGGAGAACAACAGGAAAGAAACCAAACAATGGAAACAGAATAGAGCTCAGTAATAACTGCCTTGGACAATAACGTAAAGACTGGGTATTGTCATCGAAGCAGCAAATAAATTAGTGACTACCTCTACATGAAAACTCCCAAATCTTCAGTCCAGACTTGAACTTGAAGCTCCACCCTTGATATCTGCACCTGGATTCCTCATAAGTGCCTTCAACCCAACTCTATCAAAATTGAACCCATACCCTTCCAACACCAAAACTGTTCACGTAATCCTGTATTCTCGAGGAACAGTATCACAATCTATGCACCAGTCAAATGGGCTGGAATCTAAACACATCCCTTCTCCTCTCTCACCATCTACCTCTGGTGGTCACCAAGTGGTCCCTACCTCTTTCTGAGCACTTATCTTTGCCCTGGAACATTCTCTAGGTTTCCCTGGCCTCAGTCTCATCCCCAGTCAAAACTCCCTTTGTAGCTCTGCCAAAAAGATCTTTCTAAAGAACAAATCTGACCATTGTCACTTCCTCTGGAAAATCCCTCAGGAGCTCCGTCCAGCCCGCAGAAGGGTTCAAGTTCCCACAGCTGGCAGACCCCCTTTGACTCGACGGATGGGCCATGCCTGCCTCCTCCGCACACTGGCCACGGGCAACCTTGCCGCACTTCTCGGAATGTGGCCCCACCTGCACAACTTCACACGCCTGCTCACGTCTCCTCCCTGCTGGAATCATTTTCACTGGGCGTGGCTGACTAGTCTTACCCAGCATTTGGGATCCGTCTGAAAAGTAATCCATTCCGTAAGGCCTCCTGCAGCCTCCCTCCACCCCTGGCACCCCAACACTTGGCAAGCAGGTGCACGATTTGCCTCTTCTACTTCTACATTAACAAGGGGTTCTTCCCCTAATACAGCGGCTCTCAACCTTCCTAAAGCCCTTTAATACCGTTGTGTGTGGGCGTATCTGCATGTGGGCGGACCCGCCAGGAGACGATAGAGGAGCGGTGTCTCGGTTCCTAAGACCATCGGAAATGTGTGTTTTCTGATGGTCTTAGGCGGCCCCTGCGAAAGGGTCGTTTGACCCCCAAAGGGGTTGCGACCCACAGGCTGAGAACCGCTGCAACACTGAAGTCCCCCCTGGCACTCCCTGCCAGAATGTGAGCCCCTGAGCACAGCGGCTGTGTGTCATTCCCTTCTGCAGCCTCCTCTCCATCTGGCTTGCAACGGGAGCCTAATATGTGATTTTTTTAATGACCAAATGAAGCTGATGGTGAAAACAAAAGTTCCTTAAAAATTGTCTAAGCTCTCAGAACTATGCAAGTTTCTGAGTGGTTACAATAAAGATCAATTTTGAAGCTACGTACGGTCAATATATGAATGTATGGTGGCCAGTTCCCCATTTTTTCCCCCAGAATTTTGTAATCTCAACTTGCTTTTTGTCTTCAAGACATTTTTCAAATAAAGGGACAAGAATGAAGTAGAAGAAGAAACTCAGTCAATTTAGCTACTATTAACTGCTCTGGTAAGGCTGTGGGCAGACTGAAACAGGCCTTGACAGCATCACTGGATTTTACTGTTCTCGTCTAGCCTTGTATATAAGATACCTGTGGCCAATTACTCAGCTGCTGGCCATATCTGGTCTTTAAGAAGAATTACACAATTCCTGAGAGAGGTCGAGATTCAGTTCAAAATCTTCCATGAATCTTTTGTCCCCTGCTTGAGACACAGGAGCTATTTTTCTGCACCTGACAAATGTCCACCAAATAAATCAAGGCATCTAAAGAGAAGATTAGTACTGAGCGTGATCTCTTCTGAAATTAAATCTTTTAAGATGGTTGAAATGATGAATCGTAAAAATGTCTAATGTCTCAAGAAATGATGAAGCGGAAAGTCAGTTTAAAAGAGAAGTGCTCTGCTGTCTTTGTCGGTCAGAGAGCAGTCACCTGCCCAGCGATGGTGGAAGACAGGATGATCACTTCCACAGTAAATGGCACAAGTAAGGATGACCTGGTTTCTGTCCTGCAACAGCAAAATGAGATGCTGAATTTTGCTAGAAACCAGATGCAAAAAAAAACTGTTTAGAAAGAGAGAGTCATTTGGAAGGTAAGGAAGCTCCTAAATGTCACCACCAGGTAATTTAAGCCACTTTGGAGTGTACCTGTCAGCCGGATAAAGCCTCTTACAAAGATAGTTTTCTGCACTTTTCATAAACTGGATTTTGGGGAAAAGGCATATGAATTGAACTCTGTTTCATTGCTAGGTACCCCTTTATCACTTTCCATTGAGTAAACCTTGACAAATTAGGAGAAATGCCAGGAATGTTGTATTAACAGCTAATGAGGTTCTCATACACAAATCTTTTTCTTACATTGTTTCTGGTCTAATTTATTTACACTAATCTGGTTAAGAGAATCTTTCAGTATGGTTAAACAAAGGCAAACTGCAATCTCTGGAAAGAACAGACTGCCATGTGCTCCTGTTCTGGCAAGAGAAATGAGCAATGTCATACTTGGAGGGACTGGTGGACTGGTTGGGATTAAGAAACTGCCCAGGCATTTAGAAAGTAACTCTCTGCCTCCCAACACACAGGAACAAGGCAAGCCTGAAGTCGCAGGTGCTGCTGCTTCTCAGGGCAAATTCTTTCCCTGTTCTGACCAAGAACATCAACTTCCTAACACCGGCACTACTAACTTTCCCTGAAGCAACTTTAAGTCACCGTTTTCCAAAGCATCTACTACATATTATACTAGTTCTATGCATGCCACTAAAAAAATAGTCTATGATTTTTATTATTTTTAATGTACAACAAGATGGTTGTTTGCAATAATATTCCTCTTGTTTTTGGGTCCTCGCAGTACATCAAGAACATTTATAAAGTTTTTTTTAGGATGACCTGAAGATCCCCAGCCAGGATATGGCCACAGTGTTGAGTGAAATATTCTGTGTGTAGCAGACCAACGTTGTATCACTAGATAAAACCTTGTTTTAATAAAATCATTATTCTTTATACCTATCTTGGAAAATTAAAATTGTAAGGTATAAAAAACTGGGGGAAAAAACCCATTTTTGGTTTTTAATGGTAAAAAAGGATATGACCTCTCTACTCTTTTAGCAAACTATGCTAAGAAAATGATAAATAGTGTATTAAGGAAAACACATATTTTAAAGCACTTACGGAAGCAATTTTATGGTCACTGCAAAATTCTAGAAAGTAGGTAAACAGTATTTTTACTGGTTGAGGACAAACACTAGGCCTCTATATCCTGACATATCTAATTAAACCAAAGGGTAGCCCATACCCTTAAATACACTGAGGACTTCTATTTTTGGCTTAATTCTGAATTGTTGGTTTTCTTGCTTAATTCCATTTATAATAAGCCCTCAGCCCCCGGTGCCAGACAGCGAAGGGCTGTCTATGATGCACTCGGTCGCTTAGCAACACCTGGAAGGGGCACTAAAGCCTCAGAGATCGAGAAGGGCCCACCCTCACCGCAGACTTTCAGCAAGAGGCTCGCCAATGTGCTACTAATCAGTGTGCTGAGTTAAGGCCGTGTGGGGCTGGGGAAGCCTGGTTCAGACTTCTATGAGTCCAATGACAACAAAGAGCAAAACAGCACCAAACTGCTCATATGATTTGAACTTGAAATCTATTTAGAGACCTCTTTTGCATGTACATTTTCAGAAGTTGTAAGGGATATATAAATACGGAGAACATGTCACTTCAAGAAAGACCCCACTCCCCCGCAAATAAAACCCACTGGCTAAAAGCAAACCTGTATTAGTTTTAGTTGAAATGAGAAATCACACATTTTTTTTCCATAGGTGCTGGAGCAAATGTCTCCAGCAAATACACCACAATTTCAAGAAAAGAACTGCATATATATTAGTGTGTTGGGTGCGAGGAAACATGCTATGAATAGAAAATAAGTCAGAATGGGCACCTGGCCCCGAGACCCATGAAGGCAGTGTTTCGAACACTCGTGTGCTGCGCCAAGTGTTGCGCACACACAGAATTTGGACTCAATCGTCACTTCTAATCTTATTTTCTATTACCAGAGTGTATTTATTAAAAGCGCAAAAGTCAAGGGGTCAACCAAAAAAATAGTTCTTAAGTAAATAAATAAAAAAGTTAATAGGTCGCAAGATCAAATTGAGTGAAAGCTTGACGGGCTACTTGACAGCAAACGTGGGGATGCACAGTACCGTGCCAGGGCACTGACTCTCCGGTACCCCTCTCTCCACATAACACCTGGCTGCCTGGACAAACAGCAAAAGAACAACACTTTCACTCTAATACTTGGAACCGCCTCCCCCTCCCTTGACCTGCAATCCCCGTGTGTCCATAACAGCGCCTACTTACTATGATCAATATAAAATGTGCGGCCATCCAAGTGAATTCTTTCTTCCCAACCGGGCTAGTATCAGGGAGAGGGAGGGAGGGAGGGAGAGAGAGAGAGAGAAAATATACAATAATTAGCTAGCTGTTACAAGATCAAAGGCAACATTACGACACCTGAGGGCACTTTCTTCCTCTTCCCCGCTAGGGTGCATTTTCGCATTGAGAATAAACCACACATATTTCCAGCTAACCCTCGACAACATCTAGCGTGCGATGTGGGCGCACGTCCCAACATGTCCCACGGTCTCGGAGGCGCTCCCCAGGAAGAGGGAGTGGGGGTTGCTATTTCAAAAGCTTCAAAGGGAACTTCAGCACCCCATGAGACAGTTGAGTTTGGGGTTGAGCAGCTCACAGAATTAAACCGCTATTTCTGAGTGCTACAGGGAGGAGGAAGGCTCATGCGAGGATGTTGGAGACAGCTGCTTGACAGAGGTCATCACTGGCTGGAGCACTGAACACTTGCACGTCTGTTGTGAACTCGCACTGTTCAAACTGGGGAACCAAACGGACCTGGAGAATGTTTTCAAGAGAGGGCTGGCACGCTCTCATTGTGCGACTGGGCGTACTTGCTGTTTGAAACTCAGGAACCTAACAGGTCCAGATGACACAAGTTGTTCCCTTATGAAAGTCACTCTCTAGACATGTCCCGGGCTCTTTCATGCAAACCCAGAACCAGGACTGTTTGGAGAGTGAGGGATAGCTGTATAACCTAATGAAGAAAGATGGAATGCTAACCTTCCTAGCTTCAAATTTTGCCATAATATACCACCCACTAGGCAACAGAAAAGGTTCTTATGCTTGGGGAAAAAAAGAATAAAAAAATTCCCAGATCCCTTCATTTTAAAATATTCTTAAAGTCCCCCCATCCCTGACCTTCCTGCCCCTGTTAGGCTATTAAAAAACAAACAAACAAACAAACAAACAAAAAACTGGGGCCCAGGCTGGTTTGGCTCAGCAGTTAGAGCATCGGCCCGCTGACCAGAGAGACCCAGGTTCAGTTCCCACTAAGGGCATGAACCTCGGTTGCAGTTTGTCCCTGGCCCCGGTTGGGGTTGTGTGGGTGGCAACACTCGATGTGTCCCTCTCACATCCATGTTTCTCTTTCTCTCTTCCTCCTCTCTCCCTCCTGCTCTATCTGAAGATAAATGCAAAAAGTGTCCTCAGGTGAAGATTAAATAAATAAGTAAGTAAATACAAACAAACAAAACTAGGGTAAAGGAGGATGCAGGGTGCAAGTTTCCTTCAAAATCCAATTTGGAGTAAATAGCTTAATCCCAATCAGACTCCCGAAGAGAACTGATAACAGATTAGATTTATAAACAGCCATCAATCAGGGAGGAAAGTTTAAAATATCTGCAGGCTAAATGACTTACAAACACCTTCTGTGATAACCTATGCCTTTTTCTCCCACCGTTTTTTGATCTTTTGTTCTTATTGACTAAAGCAGCATTGTGGGCGGAGCTTAGTGGTTGCTATGGTACAAAATAAACCTGTGCTGCTTAAACTGTCACCTGTAAAATATGCCTCCTACGTCCTCCTTACAAGGTCTGCCTTCTACTGGCAGCTAGCAATTCAGAAACCTCTTTCATACATACTGGCTATTGTGTGAATTTGTATGTACTACGAGGATCCAGCCATACACCTGATTTTTTCAGAAATTATAGACTAATGGGCCACGAGTCTGGAGAAAGAGGTCACAGAGGGTCTCCACCAACACTGAGCAGATAAATGAATGAACATTTTCAGACATGTCCATGTGTCTCCAGTGTACTCACAGGAAGAGGGCCAAGGTCATTGGGGTTTAAAGGTGCCTTTGATCGCATATGTACTGGAAATTTCAGGCGTGGATCTTCCTGCAAGAAAAATGTAAAAAGTACAAGGTGTTAAGAGTGCCATCTGTGCACCGGTACTGGCTCCTCCCCCTGGAGCTGTGTTCCAGGGCAACCAGGTGCCTGGGCATGGAGACACACTCCTGCCTGCATGGTGCGGGGAGGTCCCCTCTTTAACAGGAAGCCTGGCTGACCAGCTCTCAAAAAAGATTCCACTCCTCCTCCTTGTCCTTGGTGAAAGAAAGAAAGAATATGTAAATGAAGGTTAATGTTTTCCCAATACCATGAGCAGGTGAAGAGAAAGAAGGACCCAGCTGTGATGTTACCATGGAAACCAGAACAAAGTGGGCGAGAGAAGAGAAGGCTGCGCTCCACAAAAGAGGGCTGAAGACCTGGCTTGTAAACCTCCCCAGGGAGCCAGAGGTGCGGGTGAGGGGAGCTGGCCCAATGCGCTGGAATGGCCTCTCCATCAGCACCGCTGCCTGCTTCTCCCTCCCACCTGGGCCAGCCAGGTCAGGCGCTCTCCCAGAGAGAGCGGGCCTCATGGCAAAGTTACATCCCTACTACACAACTGGACTGAGATTCTCAAGGTCTGCAGGGTAGGTTCTCATGCATGTTTTAGTATTACAAGTTTGCAAAAGATTTTTCTTAAGGGATATGCTTCTTAAGATACCACAGAGAACCAACCACAAAGAAATATGTAGTGACCTCTTGGGTCACACTTTGTATTTGACATAGTACAGGCAGACGTCTGATCTTGCAACTACGCTGTTAGGAGGCTGGGCGCATGATCTCCATTTCTTTAGACAGGGAGACTGAGTTTCAGAAAGAATGAGAACTTGCCCAGAGGTTCTGACCCTGAGTCTCAGGGCTGCCTCTTATGTATACAGACCCAGTGAAAATGCAAGGTAACTAAAAGAATTCATATTTTAAACACAAAAGGTTAGAAGACAAATGATAAAACTCAGAATAATAAAATATCACTCAAATAAGCCTAACATTTAAAAAGGATCTTTTAATAAAACTTACTTTTAATGAGCATGGTTTCCTTTGGGGGTGATAAACTGTTCTAAAATTGATTATAGTGATGACTACACATCTTTGTTCAAGTCTGTCTAAAACCCATCCAACTGCATATTTTAAATGGGTCAATGTTTGGTATGTGAATCATATCTCAATAAAGCTGTTAAAAGTGTTTTTCCTGGTCAACAGTTTTAAACCACTAGAATTACAGAATCATAACAAAACAACAGATTTTTGAAATTGGCAAGAATAAAAAAAAAATAACAAAAAATAAAATTAAGCTTTGCTTTCTGTTAGCTATAGCAACCTTTTAATTGAAGTACCTAATCATGTTTGTGGTTCATGGTGAATATTGACCCTGAAACCTCACTAATATGCTTTAAAAAAGGATAAGTAAAGGCATAAAATAGGCCCAATATTTTGTAGATTACTGGAACACAGCCAGCGTAAGCAGACATGTTAACCAGATTGGGCTTTAGTAAGTCCGAACGGCTGATAGTCTGGGAACGTCTGTGCGAGGACAACTGTGAGCGAGGAAGAATCAGGGCGCATGGAACTCTACAACAGCTACCCACTCATGGCTAACTCTGAGCTAGGCCCCCAACATCACCATCATGGGGACCCTTGGGAACACAGCCCCCGACTACATAGGTTTAGAGGAGCCTGAGACAGCTCCGACGTGAAACAGGACAGGCGCGGGTGCTACACAAAGGACTTCCAGGCTGGGAAGCCCACACACAGGCTACTGAGAAAGACAACCAGCCCTTTTGGTAAAAAGCTAGTTATTGAAGGCGGGGAAAAGAAGTTGAAATTCAAGTGCCAGTGGGTAGGGATTGGGGGGCGAGGAGGAGAATAAAATATAAAATAAACTCAATTTCCCAGGTCTGCTAAAAATGGCCTCGCATGGAAACCCAGAATCCACAGAATTAGGGCTAGAGAGCCTGAGGGGTCATATTATTTTATTGTACCAACAAAACATAAAAATAATGGCAGCAGCTACACTCTCTCAAAATCCCCTTCCCCATGAATTCCCTGAACCCCACAGAGGCGGGCACCCCCAAGCTGATGGCACAGGTGATGGGCAGCCAAGGCCCCAGGTGTCATGACCGCTTTAGGGATGCCAACAGCTGGGACACGAAGGAGGTCTCAAGTGATGCGAATATAAATGAGAAGTGAAGAAGCACGCGGTCCTCCCCGGACAGTAAGAACACTCGCTATCTCGGCATTTCCCAAGCGCTTCCCTTGAGATGCAAAGGTCAACATCTCTTCAAAAACCAAAAAGACTTCCTAACAGAATCGTGTGTGTGTTGTATACACATTTTATATGACACAAAAGGATGCTCGTGGGTTCAAAAAACAGCTTTTTTTTGCCATCCTGGAAGAGATCAACAACCATGCCTCAGCTACAATGAACTGATTGGTTGGACTCGGGTAGAAAACAACCTGACACTTCTTTTTTTTTTTTTTGGTACGTGCCCCTAAGTGGGAACCGAACCCGGACTCTTTGGTCCGCAGACTGATGCTCCAACCGCGGAGCCAAACCGGCCAGGGCAACCTGACACTTCTTTAAGGTGTGTTCGTTCTTGCTACAAACAAGCCAGTGCTTTGTCCTGTAAAAGACACAAACATACTCCTACACACAATACTTCGAGCTGCTTCCCTAGCAGAAGCAATGGACAGATCCAAGGCCTCCTGTAATCTTTCCTCCATCGTCTGGTGGCCTCCAGCAGGCATCCACGGCCCGCCCCCGGTAGGGACAAATGACACCATTGCAGGATGTCTGGCCACAAGGGATCTTCCCATTGACAGGACTTAGTGCCTCTTCCAGGTGTTACTAAGGGATGAGAGCAGGGTGGACAGAGCTTTGCTTCCGGGCTCGGGGTCTCAGACCTTATTCCTGATGGATGGTGGGCACCCTGCCTTCATACAAGGCCACGCTTTATAAACAGACTTCTGCAGGGACTTTGCTCTGTGCGTGGATTCGGGGGAGATGTTGGCCTGATCTTTCCACGCTCTGGTTTAGAGCACGCAGGCTGAGGGGTGCAGGAGTACGGTTTTCATTAGTCTCCACCGTTCCGACCAGTTTTTCTTCTTTTTTCACTATGGGGCTCCAATCTAAGAAAAGCTACGTTGGCCTCACATTTGTTCTCTTTACAAAAATGAAGCAAATCCCAACTCGAGACAGATTTTAAGTTGAAAATCATCTTTATCATTCCCTCGATCTCTTCGTCTTTTGTCCAGATCAACAGGAGATCTGGAGTGTGCCCTGGACAGTGAGAACTCGGGGCAGGGCTTTGTTCAGAAGCCAGCAGCTGGGCCAGCCCGAAGAGCCGTCGCTGCGGGAGTTTCCAGTTGTTACCTGAAGGATTTTCAATGACGGCAGCAGCAACAAAATGCTGTTGTAACAAATTAAAAATTTAAACCAGCAAATCAGTCAGTAACAAGCATCTGGGAAGAAAGGAACAACTGGAAATTCACACTGGGTTTCATTCAGCGACCATGCCGGCAGTCAATAAAGCCGGGGCTATTTAAAATAAAACCTGCCCAGCTGCAATTACTCTGCAGTTGTGGCGTGCAAGGCTGTGAAAAGGTTAGGGGATTTGATTACTAAGCTAGTTCAAATTACTAAAATCATAGCTTATGTTGGCAAGCCACAGTGGCTCCATACACTAATCCACCTACTTTTATTCTATTTACCCCCTATTTCTGGAGCTCCCATTCCTGGCGGAGGATTTGTAGAATTGGGTTCTATGTCAACGAGGAGAAAAAGACTTACAAGCCGATCTCCATGAGTCTGTTTCCCCCAAAGCTGCCTATCTCTTCCTCTCATCTTGGCTAGAAACCTGTAATGTGATCTGCAGACTCAAGGTGAGTCAAACGAAGCTATGTGTTATTATATGCCTTAGAGGTAGTTACGAGCGTAAAGAATGTCACCAGGATCTAAATGATAAATTCTCCTAGCAAGCCAACTCCTTTACTTTAAGTACTTCTCACTAAGGGATGTTTGCAAATGTGTGATAACATTTTTGGTTATCACTACGGTGGGGGAGGGAGAGAAATGGTGGTTATTCGGTGGTAGGAACCAAGGATGTTACAAGTGTCCTGCAATAAAAGGCAGAGTCACAGCCCTGCTGCCAATGCCGAGAATGTCCTCATGGAGATGGGCTGTGCCATGACCCATCCATAGGATTTGAGAGAGAGAGGGCCGTCTACATAATCTCATCTGATTCTCAAGGGACTGAACCAACATGGCCTTGTAGGTAAAGTGTAAATGACAGTCCAGGTCATTTTGGTCCCAGGCTCTTCATGAACACTATGCTGTTGTTCTAACAACTGGACACACTCGTGTCTTCACTGGAAATGGGGATCTGAAGCACATGTTGTTCGCTGCTGATCTGAGACCAAAGATCTAGGGGCCACTGACCATCCCCAAACTCAGCCAGCTTTCACGCCACGTCAGTTCTAAGCATGTGGCATAAACACAAGGAGGACTGAGTTCAACTCCACACCTAGGCCACTGGTTGGGGACATTAGGGACTGTGAGAAAACCAAGCCTTCTGCAGCATCGGAAATAGTCAGAAACAAGAGAACCCAGTCCAGGTCAAACATAGGTGTACAGGTTAGTGGTGGGAAAATACCACTGACTCTTAAAGGAACTGGGTGCTACATTAAGTGAGCCACCATGAATTCAGCTAAAACTTGCACTGACAGAGGAATGCAAAGATATGCACATTCCCCTTTTCTGTTGTCAATCCTCACCCAGGGATATTTTTCCACTGACTTTTTTTTTTTTTTTTTTGGTAGAGTGGGAGGGAAGAGAGGGAGGAAGATGGAGAAGGAGAGAGAGAGACATTGATGTGAGAGACACTGACTGGTTGTCTCCTGCACAACCCCAACTGGGGCAGGGGTCAAACCCGCAACCGAGCTAGGTGCTCTTGACCTGACTTGAACTCGAGACTCTCTGGTCTGCAGGCCGACACTCTAACCATGGGCACATTCACTTTTAATTAATCTCACATCTTGTCCAAGTTCATACCACACAGGTTCTTTCTCACGTGGAGGAGCAGTATGAGAAGAAAAGTCAAATTTGACAAAACGTTCACCAAAAAGAGCTGTCAAATTTACACCCCAAGTCCTTCAGCACACCTCCTCCCTGACAATTAAAGGTGTGGAATGCAGCCCAGAGAAGTCAAATACTGATCTGAGGTGAACGGTACAAGCTGAAGGGACAAATCAAACAAAGACGGGCAATGGTGATAAAAACGCAAAAAGAAACTGACAAAAAATGATGTTGAAAGATCGGAATTCCTATGACGCCAGCATGAGATGGAAAGCAGTCACACAACGTCCCAGCAACACGAAGCACGGCCTTCCCCCAAATTCGGTGAACGGTCAAAGCCTTCCAGGGGTGCTCCGGAGAAAAGGCATCGGCCGGGCACCAGCTGGCCCTCACCTGCACCCTCTCGCACCCGCTCCCACCGGCCCGCGGGCAGAATCCTGAAGCAGACTGAGAAGACCCTCTGGGGACCCGCTTGGGCGTCAGTGACATTTCTCGACAAGAACCATGAGTACAGAGTGAGGAGATGAAGGAATCAACGCCAGACCTCACGATGAAAATGGAGCCAAGTAAAAGCAGCAGCCTTACCCACGTTGTAGTCTTTGTGTTATGGTCAATGAAGAAGGGCCGGCCGTTGGGCGCGATCCTCATTTCCCAGCCGGGCGGCAGGAAGCTCTGTGTGACTTTGTGTTGTGGTTTGGGGGAGTTGTAAGGTGATGGCTGTGGGGACTGAGGATTGGAAAGGGTATCTTTCACAGCCCGGCGTATGGGTGAATCCTTGGCACCCTAAGGAACAATAATGAGCGTTAGAACGCGTACGTGTGCTATTCCAGGTGTGTCCAAATGTACCTGGGCATCCTGAATGCTCCTGTTTGGAGGGGGACAATGCTCCCAAGAAACCGGTTTCTCTCACTTGTTTACTTTTAAATCCAACTTTAAAGTTTTTCTATCGGTTAAACACATAACATTAATTACTTAAAAGCACCATCCTTCCATAGCCACTGGATATATACTCTGCTGAGAGTTATGGATGGAGACTTCACAGAGGGTGGAGAAAATGTGCCCCTATTCTTATGAGCTCACAGTCTAGTGAAGAATGGACTGGCAATTTGCAGAGCACAGAAAGAAACCCCTAACCCACTAAAGACAACCTCCTGGGCTCGTATAGTTACCCATGACGATTATATCACAGTTTGGAGGCAAAGTATCATCCATTCCCACTTATCAGCATTTAAGCCCAGGGCACAGAGAATCCACAGCTACCTCGAGGCCACAGTCAAGTTTAGAACTGGAACGTTGGTGCTCTCGCTTCTCTAACTGACCGGTGATGGTAAGGGATGGCACTTGACACACACGCGCACACACGCGCGCAGAACACACGCAGATGCCCAGCAATGACTGAGAGATGCAGATACGCATCAGAGACACGTTTGCCCACACAGTGACAGACCGAAAGGTCAAAAGGAAAAGAAATGATCCAAGCCACAGCTATGATTTAAAACTTAATGTAAGCACTGGGATTTGAAAGAGTTATTATGCATGTCTAATGAGGTCGCAGGCAAGAAGGAGCGAAACACAACGAGAATGGAGAAAGTTCTGCAAAGAGGGGCCCACAGGTCCAGTGCCCGTCGCGAGGGCCTCGGCCACAGGAGAATGAGACTCAGGAGCGAGTCCGGGGAAGCAGAACAGAGAAGCATGGGGTAAAGCTACGTGAGGACACCCTTCACCACGGACACAACGACCGGCGGACAGGAAGGCGGCTGCGAAACAGGTCCAGGTGCAGAGAGAAGAGAGGAGGAGGAGTCACAGGATAGACGGGAGCCCAGCCAGACGAGCCTTCTCACCTCCAGTGGGGCGGACAAAGTTACTGTTGGCGAACTGAGGCTACGAGGCCGGCGGATCTGAGGCTCGATTAGGTGGTTGTTACTGTTTGTGGTGGATCCAGAAGCACCATCTTCTGCGAGCTACATTGGAGCAAAAACAAGTTAGCTTCGGTGAGGACCTCCCCGTGTGTGGCTGGAGCGCGGACCCAAACAACAACACAGCCAGCGGTAATGAGAGGTCTGGCCTCTTTAAAGCATGGAGGAAATGATTAAACATAATAATGGGGGGGGGATGGGGAAACACATTCAAGGGAAATAAAAATGAATCACTAGCCCGGCATGAAAAGGAGCCTCAGGGAAGGGGGGAAGGGGGGGGGAGAGACTCCACACACTGTCCTACCTTGAAAACATCTTTCCCGTCACATTTAGAAAAATATATCTAGGGGAAGACTGATCTGAGGACCAAATGCTTCCTGAGGCATATATGCTACGTAAAAGAAGGCATTTTCTTTGTGAAAAAGAAAATGTCCAGAACGCGGGTTCCCGGGACAAGACAGAAACAGCAGCAGCACGGAGCTCACGGACATTTCCGCTTGGACTGCCTGCAGCTTCAGCTGCACGGAGGTCTGCGTACCTGCATGATAGGCCGAGTCCAGGTTGTGGTGCGATTGTTATGATTGACATAGTATGTGCGTCCCTTAGCATCCTTTCTTTCTTCCCAGCCTGAAGGGAGGCCCGGCGTGGTGTGTACGTAGGCCACTGAGGGCTGTTTGTGTGAGAAATCATCATTATTCAATGCAGTGGTTTTCTGACCTGTTCAATAAAGCAATGTACACCCAGAGAAGTCTTTCTTTCTCCGGACAAAGTAATTCTATTTGTACCCAAAAACGCGAGTGTCCGGAAAACAGCAGATTTCCAGTAGCTTCAAATCTACTGTGGAATGAACCCCTATGGAGTCCAAAGTCTTACAGAACTCAGTTTGAACGCCCCCAAGTCTTCAATATAAAGGTTGCAGCTAATATGATAAGGACAGAGAAAAATACAACAATGTCTTTTAGGTACTAAATTTTACTGTCAAACTATGCAGAGCTGAAAGGTATTTCAACGGTCAAACATCACTGTCAAGGACAGGACTGCTCTGAATGGTTCCCCCTCAATGAAGCTGCCTCAGGATACTCGCCAAGCTCATCCCTAAATTCTTCATCAGCTCAGGGCCCTTGCATTCTTCCTTCAGGGGGAAAATATCCAGAGCTCCTTCTCCAGGAGGTCCGCATTCACACCAATGGCATATAATCAAGAGGACCAACCAGGACACCCCAACTGCCCACACTCAGGAAGCCACGTGGCCAGCTGAGGCCCGACTTCCCAGGCCTGGTAGCCGAGGCTGCACTGACCCTGTCTGCCCATGCGGAGCTGGTCTCTGCAAAGGACGAAGGAAGCAAGGCAATGTCCGGGTTGAGAGACCTGTCCAGTTACAGCGACTATATTAGATAGCCCAAATCAGATCGAGAAAGGATTCCCGAGACACTTCTGCTTGTAAGAAGCAGTCTGAGGAATGTAGTCGGGGTGGAGAACTCAGGATAGCAAGGATGCTTCAGTGACTCAAGGAAGCCACGAGACGGACACCTGAGGGCAGGGCTGTCTCAAAAGGAAGTGCCAGGGGCTGCGTATCAGATCTGGGAAAGGGGTGCTACTCTAAGGGAGGGGTCTCAGAAACAAGAAGCCAACCACAGGTATCCAGGTTCCCAGGAGACTGCAAACGGAGCAAGAGCCCAATCATTACTCGGGGTACGATAGGAAGCCAGGTCTTGCTGGGTACCACCTCCCCTAATTAGGATCTTCTTAGCCTCCAGATGTTTGACCGGCAGTCATTTTCTTGATATTAGGCCGAGGCGTACATCTCTTAGCCCAGCTTCTCCCTGTGCTCATCCCCTCTTCTGTGTTCTCTACCAACAACATTGCTTGGCAGAGAGGGTCACATCAGAGGGTCCCCAACCCACTGCAGGACCCTGGAGTAGCATGATCAAAGATGCTACCATGTTATTTGGGGACTTCAGTTAATGAGGCTCAGTGTTCTACTTCATGAGCTCAATAGCACATTCCAGAGAAGAACTAATTGTAGCCATGAAGCAGCTGCCTCAATGGTTAGTTCTAAAACATGTTTACCAGGCGAGGCAAGATAATTGGCAAGGAAACTTTCTGCTAAAACTGCAGCAACTATTTCCTTGACATTTTCCCAGATAAAGTCCCGAAGGGCCTCATCATGGTTAATTCCAAGACTCTGACCACACAGCATCCTGTACCTTGGTGTGGGATTCAACAAGCGTGGAAGAAACCCCAACATGGAGACTTGATCCTTCTGTGAGTATTTCAGACGAATCCGTACAATCTGAAGCTCTCTCCTCCCCTCCTCGAGGAGGCGCTACAGAAAAGGGTTTCTGCCAGTCTGCTTTCGCCCGGGCACCACAACACGCCTCTGCCAAACCAAGGCAGAACTCAAGTTGTTCCCTACGTCAGCGGTCGCTTCGTCTGGGCGGCAAGGTGCGTGCTGCCGGCTCTGGTCCACAGGATGACCAATGTTCTGGCTGAATGGAGCCTACATGGAATCTGATGCTCTTCTTGTTCCCCACTGAGTTATTTTTTGGGAGAGGCACTGAGATAGGCCCTCAGAAAACTCTGATCTGGAAACCTGAAGGGCTGTCTCACAGCTGTAACATCCCTGGAAAGGACACTTATGAGGAGCCTGATACACTGAAATAGTGTGGCCGTGTCGTGGGCAATCTCAGAACTGAGTTCTCAAGCTGCAGGACTCCCAGCACAGTGTCCCAGCACTGGTTCTTGTCATAGATCCACCGTTAATAGGGCTGATCAGATTATGGAAAATTAGGAGTGTAGCAGAGAACACGAATTTGATTAAAATGTTCACTGCACCTTCTAATGAGAACTGAATTGGTGAGTCATACGGAGTTCCATTCAGGCAAGATAGTGTTATGAAAATGTTTCTTTATAGATTTCTTTCCACATGACCATGGAGAACCTGTGCTGGGTTCCACCTGTCACTCGAAACACTGCCTCCCACCACCCGCCACCCGCCGCCAAGGAGGGGCAGGATGGGCCAGCCCTGGGCTGAAATCTGGCTCTACTGCCGTGTGCGCGTGTGCACACACGCATTTCAGTCCACCTTAGGAAACAAATTAATCGGTCAAGAGACAAGTTAAAACTGCTAGTAAGCTTAATTTAACATTTCACCGCTTTTCATGGAAGACGCTATTGCGTTTCATAATGCCGAATCGCCATCTCGCAAGCTTCAGAGTGGCTCCATTTATTTCATTAAAATGAAGGACTCAATGAGGTTTAAACTATAAAAGTTTCAATAGGCGTTTACAGATGATAAACGTTTGGCACCATCACCGACGACCCAAGATTCGCGCAAACTCTGCCATTCCAGCCACCTGGGTTTATTTTAGAGTCTGTAGAGCGAAGACCAAAAGGACTGTGCTATGCCTCTTGCTGGATCTCAGAGAGGGCTCGTGCTTGGCTAAAAGTGTACTTATCTGTGGTGAACCAAAGGGGTGTGGTTCTGCAGGTGAGAATCAGGATGCGCTTGTTACACTATAGAAATAACCACTGCCAAGGAAGGACGGGGGACCGGGTGGTTAATGCAACATGGTGTGCAGGACAAAATGGGTGGGACAGGGGGCTGAATGCTCATCAGTGTGGGAAAATTATATGAACTGGTGCATTCACGTTACTGAATATTATGTAATTATTAACATGTCCCAAGGAATGGCCGTAAATGAAAAATATCAAGTTGCTAGCTGATGTGTACATGAGATCCCTTCTGTGTGTGTGTGTGTGTGTGTGTGTGTGTGTGTGTACACAGGCATGTTTGTGAGAGCAGAACACAGCTCCACTATAAGAGTGTACCCTTCAGTGTGTGGCTGACACAGAGGAGGAGGGGACAGGGTGTAAGAGGGAAAAGACACTTTGGGAGACGGAACTGAAAAAGAGAAAGTAAAGGTGCCCGCGACAGGGATGAAGGAAAAGAAGCAGATGTGATAATTTCAAAGCTGCTGGAATTCCCAATGTAGCCATAACATAAGTTGGCTTATTGCAGTCACAAGATGACCAGGCACACAGAGCATGAGAGTAGGTAAGACATTTAGGAACTACTCCAGCGGCCAGTCCTTAAAAATAAAAACACAAGAACAAATTCCTATGTCTGATTCATTGGTGGGGGAGGGGAGAGTCCTGGCAAAAAGAGGACCAAGGCAATGGCCACAGGGTCCTCATTCAGGTGATCACTTTGCCCTGCCAGGAAGCCCTTCCCATGGAGCCCAGCACTCTCACAGTCTACCCCATCACTCAACATCATAGCCACCACCACACTCCGTAAGAAGAGCAGGTTCCAAGGCCACTACAACACAAAAGCGGATGGAAGAGGACACTCATTAGCACGAAATTCTACTACATGTATCATGAGATGATCTGCTCCACCTTGCAGCTCTGTTGCCATGGAAACTTCTAGTGCACGGTAGGAAATGTGCCGGTTCATTTGGAAGTTCATGGCTTCTACTGGATGCTGAGCCTGGCCCACCTAACACACGACTTTCACAAAAATTACTGCGGCTCAGTAGCTTCACAATGAGGCTGATTTTTGCTGATAGCAAATTTGACCTTTCTGTGTGCAATGCTGACTGAGCCTTAAATTCTAACACTGTAACTACATTGTTCCTTTAAATCACCAACACCCTGCAGAAAATCAGCAACTGCCTATGTATTTAAAGATGTTTTCAAGTAATAAGCAGTTAAACATAACAAAGGTGAAACGATAAGAAAAATTCTTCAAATAGTTATAGCAGCTCCAAGCATAAGCTATAAATTAGCCTATATTCAGGGATTAAATAGAAAACAAGCAATTAAGATACATGGACAAATCCATTATTTAAAATAATGAATAACAATAACAGATACTTGGCTTAGAGAAACACATTTTTTCTAGACCTTTCAAACTTCTTAAATACACTCCCTCCCCTCCCACTCCCCAAGTACATGAATACTCATTCAGTCCTGTGAGGAGAGTCCCTGGTAGCAGAGAAAGGTCACTGGGTCAAGCTCAGGATACAGAAAATCTAACTCAGCACTTAAAATGTGGTGCAGAAAACACACAAGAGAGAGAGTTCTGTGTACAACTAAAAATCCACTTGTACAATCGTATTCGGTTCCTGGGGCTCCCCGATTCTCTTACAACCAAGGTCATTTACCCAAGCATTCTAGCAAACCACAAAAGCTTATCAGAAGTGCGAACACTAAAAAGCAAAAATATATTCTTAATGGTCCAATTAAATGCACTTAACCAAAGCTTGACAGTCTTCCTAATAAAACTAGGAGACAAAATGGTTCAGTTTTACCCAACACCTTCAAACAATGTGAAGTGAAGGGTTGACAATAAGAACCATGTGCATCTCTATGGCACAAAAAAAGCTTATCATATCCAAAAAAGGGAGAGAAAAAATAAAAAAGCATATTCCCCATTACGCATATTAAAACCAACCCACAGTTTTGACATAAAAGTCTGATCAAGGGGATCATTACCGTTGACTCCTCACCACCCGTGACAGTTGATGAGCGCGCTCTCCTAGCTGGGGTACTGGGCTGTTAAATGATAATTTACATCAGTGAAATGCACTTAGGGAGACCACCCATTGCTTATGGAATCATGAATCATGGCTGTCGCAGCCAGTAAGGCAGGTGATATGAATCAGAACCTCTGAAACCCATCCTGTCCAAGTAAAGCTGTGCTATCACTGATGACCAGAAGGAAAAAGGAACCCATCAACCTCCCACTCAGAGATGCCTCAGGCTGCAACCCTGATTTGGCTGAACAATGAGTTGACAACCTCAATAACAATGTGAGATGTCTTGTCAAAAAAAAAAAAAAAAAATTGAAAATCATTAATTTTGTACCCCGCCCCCCATTAAATAATGAGCAGGTTCTTCAATCTGCCAAACTCAAAATTCAAGTAAGAGGCCTGGTGATCAGTGAGTTCACAGCTTCACAGGGCACAAGGAAAGAGGGAGGAGTCATCCATTTCCAGAAAAATAAGCTGTTTGGCAAATAAAATTGACACTGATTTTGAAGAGGAGAGAAAGTGCCATTAATTCATCAAGGAAAATCACAGAATCATTAGGCTGAGGATCCCACTAGCCCATCACAACTGATTATTGCTTTTTGGGGCAGGCCTGGACTGAAACCATCCCAGAAAGGACACTCTGGGTCACGCTTATCAACCAGTTCATTGAATTTAAGGCACACATGAATCCATTCTTTTGACTACTCATTGACTCATTTTGCAAGCATAAAAGACTAAAACCTAGGCAAAAATATCCTTCTGACTTCTGCTGAAGTGTACACAACAGGGAAGACACTATGTTTTCAAAATCTGTAAGTGCACTTTTCCCCACATCACACGTAATAAAGTATTAGTGCTAAAAATGATCAAGGATTTGTAGTCCCTCCGAAAATTGTTTAAGGTCAAATATTAAATTGAACATGCTAATTCCACCTGTCTCTCCCCCTCCCCCCAAAGAAGAAACAAATTCACATAATGTTTATTTTTAGTGTGTACACCAAACATCTCCCAGGGCAGTTCTGGTCTGCCTTCCAACTGGAATGTTCATTTTCATGTATTTCCCATGTTATGAAACACCCGCCACTCTTCCATATTTGCCGTTAGTTATAAACACTGTGGGAGAGTGGAAACAAGTTGGAGCTGATTCTTCAGCCAGCAGAGCTGCCCTTAAAGAGAAGGTCCAGCGGCTGTGTGGGGTTAGGAGTTTAGGCCATTAGTCATGGGAAGCCTTACTCGCTCCCAACCCAGAAGAGTTCTTCCTGATTAAAAGGGTTCAATATTGTCTTAAAATACAGGTCACCAGAGCACAGCCTGAGTGACTAAATCAAGTTTTTAAAATAATGAATTATTAATGCGTGCTTTTAGTTACGCAGTTTAAGGCAAGTGAGCACATCAGAATTGGTATCAATCTGGGGGAAAACTAAGCCATGAAGCCTTTACCATTTCAGAGACTTTGGTGGCCAAAACAACTCTTTGCACTGGAAATCCACTCTCCTTGGGCAATTTGCTAGGGCATATGAATGTCTCACTGATAGATTAAGTGGATTTGCACAGGAAAAACTCTTCCTCAGTAGCCCCAGTGATTTTAAATAGAAGCCGAAAGAGCCAACTGAGGATGGGAAATGAGCGTGGGTTACCGGTGGTAGATGAGCCTGCTCTGCGACCGCGTCGGTGACACTGCACGACCTCAGCCTCGAGGACGGCTCCCTCTGCTGAAGGGGAGGAAAGGACAGGAAGCATCAAGAAAACATTCTCAGAAACCAGTTTCACTGGCTTGCAAAATATACGACTCGATTCTGTTCACCGCATTATGCCACGGAAGGTAATGACATGAAACCTCATCTTTTCAGAGTAATGAGTAATTCTTTCAGGAGTCAAAGTTATCTGCAGTTTTCATTGTCAGTGATTTAAGCAGATTGGAGTTTTGATTGGTCCTATGTTAGAAATAACAGCAAAAATAAGAGAACAAGGTCAAAGCGTGAAAGGGGACTCAACAGGCCACCATAACACACTAGGGTTGCTGGAAAAATGGAAATAAGGACCTGGAAGTCTTACACTCTGCTTTGGGATGCACACTCGAGGTAAATCCTAGTGTGATGTGAATAGAGGAAGAACACTGATATATGGCCACTAAACAATCGCTGACTATTATTTTCACTGACAAAGAACCAATTGGATTCTATGTCCAGAGAAACTCTAATATAATCTTCTGCTACTTCTGAAGGGTCTGGTATGTACAATTTCAGATTCTCAATGGAGATGAAGTTGTACAGATAAGGAATGAGGGGAAATAGTGAGGTTAACCTAATAAATGTAATGTGTAATGTATAATGTTCCTCTCACTTGTTTGCATTCATCTATGAAGTCTTTAAAAAGCCCAACAAATCCAATCAGAGACCACAGCAGATGCCACACACAGAAGCCAGGGATCTATCTAATCAGCAACAGGTTCGGCCATGGGACAAGTGTGTAGCACTTATGATTTTTGATCTTTTGCAATGATAACTAAAATGGGGTAAGGTCAAAGAAAGACTCTGGGGCAGTAAAGAGGGTGGGGGATGATATGTGTTTTTCCACCAGAGTTGCCACGGAGGATTCATTCTTTAGTGAAAGGCCATGCTACTGTTCTAGAACAGAGTGACCCCGAGCCAAACTGGAAAATAGCCCCTTCTCTCTCTTAGGCACTTTTATTTAATAGTTGCACTAAACTCAACACAACCTTAAAATTATTCTGACACTTGCACTTGGATGTTAAAGATATTTTATATAGCTTTAATAATTAAATGCAGGAGCTCCATATAGAAATACTTAGAGATACTAACTTAGTACTCATGCTGAAAATATTATGATTTTTCACTTGGTAGACCAAAGGGGTATAATTTCCATAATTATTGCAGTACTTACTTCCTTTTATAGGTTTTTAATATATGGATTCATTGCTTATATTGTTTCCATAGCAACGGTTTTACCAATTCAAATATCCCATATATGCAAACTCTTTTTTTCCTGCCCGTTTAGTACTAAATTTTCATCTCTGTGGTATCTCTTTCTGAAAAACATTAATAGAATTTTAACATAAAACCACATTAAGTAAGTAATCATTGCTCCTCACACAAATTGGCCAATGGTGTCTTTTAAAATAAAAACACCATAACTGAAGTAGTAAAAATTTTGTGAGGATTTACTTGCTTTTACATTTTATGCAGTCCTCCTATCCATTTACATTTTATGTGACTGTAATAAGGACTATTTTTCTAGAATGCCATTTTTGGTGACATCACAACTATCTTTACTACAGAACAACTTTAAGTTCAATTTCTCAGAAAACTGAGACCGCATTTGTTCTTAATTTAATACACAAGCAGGCATTTTCCCTGGGCTTTTTCTGCACAGTTTTGTATGGTCAAACACAGAAATCTTTATGGCTGGTTCTACTGCTTCTCATCAGGGCTTAGCCCCATCTGAAGCTTCTAGAAAGAGTGTCCTTAAATGTTGAGAAACCAAATTCAAGTGCTACTCCAATGTCAGTGTCCCGATTCCACAACCCTTCACAAGAATTGGTTTTCTGGGATACAGATGTTTTCTATCTCCCATCTGAACTTTGTCTTGGAGGGGTCCTCAAAGACTACGCATGCCTTCCTCTGTGACATGAGAATGGTAAGGTATGCAGAGTGTGACTGAAGAGGACTGACTGGGAGGCCCAACGTCTCCCCGGTCCCAACATGAAAAGCCACCTTTGTGATGAAACACTACGCATGAGCCTTTGGCTGAGAGAAGAAATTCTCTAAGGTCAAGGCTGATAATTACAGAAGTCATGAACTCTTATTCTCTTGGAATCAAGAAAGATCCTCACCTGCGTGGGCTATTTTTGGTATAGTCCTTCTCCTAGGTTAGAAGGAACTTTGGAAAAGGTCAGAGTTATCTGGGAGCTGGAAGACCCCTGGTCATTATCTGCATACAAGACTCTCTTAAAGCAACAAAAAATGATAAAATATGTGCTTCACTTCTCACTCAAACAGGACGATTACTTACAATCAAAGAACCAAACTGCTCCCCATTGGAGTCTGGGGTGATCTGAAGCCTTCTGCTCAATTCCTCGGACAGCTCTTGAGGGCTGGTCCGAGACACAGGGGAGGACGGCGGTGGGGGCAGCGCCAGACTGAGCGAGTCTCCAGCGATGGTCGCTTCTTCGGAAATGGTCTCCCAAGGCTGTCAAGGCATGAGACACTGAGGTAAATGCTAGGAACAAGGGATCCTTTGTCCCCTCCCCAACAATAACCATTATCATAACTATAATTAACATTTATTGAGCACTTAGGGGGCAAACAATCTTCTCAATAACGATGAGAAAGATATGACTACTACCCTAATTAACAGATGTGGAAACTGAGGCACAGAAGGAGACTTGCCGAAGGTAACAGAGCTAGGAAGTGGCAGGAGCAGGTCTTGAGCCAAGGAAGCCTGGTTCCAGGGGCTGAGCTCTTAACCACTTTATAACACCACCTCTCTGAGCTGTGACTTACTTCTAGCACTTGTCACCAAATGCATGAGTTAAAAAAAAATCTCAGGAATTCATTGATTTCCATGGATTTTCTTCTACTCTAACTGCTGAGGATTCACAGTGAAAACAGCTATGATCTGTAATTAAACACTGGTATAAAGTACCTTTCAGTAAATGTTTTATGGAATCATTAATTTTGCTTTTCCAGTTTTGATCACTGGAACATTTTGTAAAGGATCTTCTTCCTAACATAATACCTTTAATGGATTTCTAGTAAGTAAACAGAGTTCTTAAGGCAACATGGAAGTTATGATAATTTATTAATTTGTTCTTCAATTCATAACCCTACCCCACCCCTGGCCCAGTAATTTACCATCAACATTTCAGGGGAAAATGATAAACATTTCTATTCAGCCAAATTTGTATTGGCTTGGTAATAAATCTCTTTTGTGATGTCCAAAGTATTTAGTAAACACTTGTATTTGGTACCCAAACAAGTTATAGGGGTCACTCAACTGAAATTACAGAATAAAAGAAATCTTTAAGATTCTCCTATAAAAAATGGCATTCCCTTTTGTAATGATATAGATACATGTGTTCGTCAAACATGGCTTTAATAAGCACTTTCTAAATCAATATCCTGGTGGTTGTCAATTAGTATGAGACCTTGAGACAGTATTTATGGAGAAAAGTAATCACAGCACAGAATGAAGCTGGGGACACAGAAAGGAGGGGGCGCAGAGTCCGGGGCAGCGGGGTGCGGTACCTCAGGGCCTTCCCCGCCCTCGGAGGCCTCGGGCTCCAGGTCCTCGCTGATGTGCCGGCGGGAGCGGAAGCGCCGGTGCGCCGCCTCCTGGTTGATCTGCCGGATGTTGCTGTCCGCCTCGGAGGACACGTCCCTGCGGGCAGGGCATGGAGACAGGACACCCAGTATTGGTAAGTGGCCCTTCAACATGAGTCCAGCGCTCACCCAGGGCCTCACACCTACTCCAGTGCCAGTGCTCTTAGGTTCAACCAACTGTGACAATGAGAATTCTTCCACCATATTTTGGCCAAAGTACAGTTCTAGGTTCCTCTCCAGCAAATAAATCCAGCTTTGAAGTCTACCCATCACAGCATTTTGGGTGTCTTTCACGCATATACATCAAACGTCCTGTCGTACTTAAGAAGGAAGAGAAATGGAAGCCGCAGTGATGTCAGGCCTGACTGTCCTAGGAGTCCAGCAAAGACAAGGGAGCACCTCTGGTCGTTAACAATGGACAGAAGAGTGCATAGTGCAAATTCAAAGCTGGGAGGGGGGGAGGGCAGTGCTCCTGACCCAATGAATTTTTTCAGCTGCTGTGGATCTCATTTTGACAGAATCTCAGAATCAGGACCATGCTTTTCTGCCATGTGGCTACTTTTAAACATTCAAACACTGGGCGACAATCGCCCAAGTCAACCGCGATTTGAAGAACACTGCTATTTCACACGATTTCTCTGGTCATATAACTACCTTGCTTAGTGCAGGATCTGAAAGCATTGATTCTACCTTGAAAATTTTTGCAGGCAATTACAGGCCATGATCCTTTGGGAGAAATACTACTTGGAGGCTTTTAGAGTAGAAGTTTAAATGTCAAAATGTTTCTCAGAGAAAATTTGCAGATTCTTTTGATAAGACACTATAATCAGTTGACAAAAGTGATGTCACAATATTTCAAAATATGTGAAAACATTACATCAGACTACCTGAAATATAGTATAAATCATGGGGCCTTGTTACAGGTTTTAAACCACAGGTTTTAAACATTTGAATACAGTCTCAAACGAACAAATGCTACATCCCAATTAAGAGCCTGCTGGGCCCATGAACAGGGAATTGTTTGCAACTAGCAGCCCATGTGCAAATAAATGGCTCTTTAATGCCAGGTTCGGAGATGGTCCAAGTGCTTCCAGTGGACATCTTTACACTATTAACTACTGGCAAAGAGGATAGGATGAAGGCTAGCTTTCACTTAATCCATATTAAAATACTTTCTTGTTATGAAAATCTAAACTAATGAAGTTTAACTGTATCTGTGCACTCAATACACAAACTCTTGAACTCTAACAGAAATACATATCCTGCATATTTTATAGTAATATTAAAGTATAACTAGATTAAAACTACCACACTAAATAGAGATACCTTCAGAAGAAACAGACAATTATGGCCTTAAAGAATATAATTAAAATCAAAGGGATACACAAGTATAACAATACAATTTCTGAAACCACCAAAACAGAATGGTAACAAATGACACTACTGGATATGTCAGAAAATGTAATGTTGCTATTTGCGATTTTATGTTGCTACAGTTACTATTACATGACATTCATTTCTTAAACACATAATGATTATAAAAAGTGATTATAAGGTATTACAAAACTCACAAAAATTAATGATCAGAATGATCAAAATACCTTAATATGTAAAATATTCCAGTAATGTCTAAAAAGGCAAAGGAAACTTTACATTATCCACTTTCACTTAAAAAAAGAATTTTTTTCATTGAATTTAGAGAGAGAGGAAAGGAAGAGAGAGACAGAAATATCAATGAGAGAGACAGAAACACCCATGAGAGAGAACATCAACTGGCCACCTCCTGCGTGCCCCCACTGGGGATCGAGCCCACAACCTGGGCATGTGCCCTGACTGGGAATCGAACCAGTGACCTGTTGGTGCCTGGGATGACGCCCAACCAACTGAGCCACACAGGCCAGGCTCCTCTTTCACTTTTTATTGAGGATGAAAGCAACATCACTTTATAATGACTGGCTTTACTTAAAAATATTTTATATATGACTGTCATTAACGTTTAAATCTTCCCTTGAAACATCAGTCATCACGTATTCGGTCAACACGGAATGACTCACGTTTGGGTGCTAGCTATGTGCCAGGTCCTAACACCTACTTGAATTGTTACAGGAACTTCTGAGAGGCTGAAAAAAATAAGGTTCTCATTATTAAGTCTGCGTTTTGTATCTCTCAGAAGTCCACAAAATTATATTATTTTGGAAGAACTGATTTTTTCTTTAAAAAGGGGCATTTAAAACCAACTATGCCAATCTTCCTTACCCAACATGCTCAAATAACTAGCAATCTGTATGAACCAGAAACCACCAAGTAGCGTAAGGAAGCAAGATACCGCTGATGTTGAAATTCCAAACATGAGCTTTTCTGGTCTTTAGTGATAAAATGAAAATGTTCACACCACGGAGGCCTTTGTATCTAATTAAACAGTTGAACGAGAGGGTTTGGAATGAAAGCTGCTGAAACCGACTGGAAGTTTAAATGGTCACTAATGGCCAGATGAACATGTATAAATATTCCTAATCTGACAGATTAAAACAGAAAATGGTTTTATTTTAAGGGGCAAGAAAAGTAATTAAGAAATGGCTATTTCAATTTTCTTCAGTCACTAATTTCACATATGTATTCTTCATTGACCTTCATGGGAAATGCAAATGAATCAAGACAAGGACAGCCACAGATGCATCGAGTTCAGTGCTAACTGAGATGGGTGTGTCCGATCACTGACGATCACACACGTCAGTGACTCTGACACTGACTGAACTGCTGCTAAGATGGGGAGACGCATGAAGTGTTTCAGAAAGAGAGCTAAAAACACAAACTGAAAATACGTTGAGTTTACCAAGTTCATCTTCATTTATCATCTTAGTGTAATTCCTCTCCGTCTTTAAAAATTGTAGCTTTTGTAGTAAAAAGTTTAGTTTATGTTTAAATAGGAAAAGGACAGCTCTAAAATTCGGGGTGTTTTAAAAGCCACCACTGGACAGGAGGGGCTGGGTGTCCTCTCTGGTCACCTCTGTCCTAACGCACTGCGTGGATGGTGCAGGAGGCCATGTGCCTCGAATCACTTTCAGCGGTGACTCGCGTGGAGTCGGTCATTGAGTTCAAGGCACTGGCTGAGCTCCGACTCTGAGCCAGGTGCAAAGGGGAGCTCTGTGAGTAAGCAGGTGCAGTCGCTGCCCCCGCAGGGAGTCAGAATATTCTGTGCTCTTTGCCAGGCGGGGAGTGAGGCTCCCCCAGAGGAAGGTGCAGTAGGCTCAGGTGGCTGGGGGAAGGGCCATGTTTTAGTTTTATTTTGCTTTCATGGGGGGACGGGGGTGCTAGCACAACCTAGGAACCAAAAGGAGGAGAGTAACGACAAAGCGGCTTGCATGATGGAGCCACTGCGGTGCACTGCAGGCCTGTGACTGTGGTGGGGAGTCCGGAAGAGGTAGGGTGGCGACCAACCCTGTAAGATCAGCCAGAGGGCACAGAGAATTTTTTCAGGGTGAACATTTTTCAGGGGGTTGAAGTTTGAGGCACAAGGCTCCAGTAAACAGGGTAAGAAATGAGAGCCACTGGGAGAGTCTTAATTCTTGCTTAGCACATGGTAATCAGTAATCACTACTGATTTTCTCAGATACAGCCTTTTAATAAAGACACTTCTTAGTATCAATTTTCCTCTGAAGAGTACTGGAGTAGTCTGTGAAAACTGATTTATGAAAACAAGTATTTTTGAATTAAAACAATTACTTAATTCTGAAAGGCTTGAGGGCTTCTGGCCAAGCCAAATAAAGTTTCAGGGAAAGAACCCCAAGTTCTCAAACAGTTCAAAAGGGAAAGAGAGGTCACTGTGGAAACCCAGTCCTTCCTTATCTACCTTCTCTCTTGCCTTCTAGAGGTCACGCCTGCTGGAGCGGAGCCAGTCCTCTGGTTCCGCCCAGAGTTCTGTTGATGTCCCTCCTGGCTCCACCCCTCCTTGGAGCACAGCTACCTCCCGGACGGGGACGGTCACGTCACCAGCTTCTCCCCGAACTACTTGTAAACCTGAACTAGGATGAAGGACTGCACTTGCCCAAGTTGCTTTTCTGGACTACTGGTCTGCAGCTACGTCTTCTGTCTGGGTCTAGTTCTTCGGGAAACTGCCACTAAAGATGGTATGTTTAGAAAAACATACGAGAAATGCTTTCTCAGTAATTCCCTCATTAGCTTCACAACTCTGTGAAGTAGAACAAGGTGCAATTACCACCATTTATGCCCCAAATGGAGACTTCAGTTTACACGATCGTAATTAACGAAGGTGGAATTCGCTGTAGACGTATAGGTCATTAGTATTTCTTCCTTTGTGAGTTGCCGGTGGTCCTGTTCTACAGAGGACACATGACACTCTGGTCCCCACAGAGTGCCATGTTGTAAGACACTTTCTTATGATGTTTAGCAAAGGCAGCTTACAGTGTTTTGCTTACTGTATCATTACCAAGATTATTCTGATCACTATATGTAACCAAGTCCAAGGTGAGTCCATTCTTTAAAAACTACAACTATACCTAGAGTAGTCAACTGGCTTATACTAGTTTGAACAGCTATGACAATTAATCAAAGGGAAATAGTAATACAATACAATAAAATTTAAAAAAATCACTGTATCATTTTCACGGGGGGGGGGGGGGATTACAACAAAAGAGTTCAGCATCAACCCAATGTTTGGGTGTTTTTGCTGTGCTGGGAACAAGGAGCTGATGTCCACGCTGGGCAGTCCAAAGCTGGCAGAGGACAGGTGATCCAAGAACCCACCTGGGGGTTCAGGAAGGACTGGCTATGCGTTGCTGCGGATTCCGCAAGCTCTGGCTCTAAACCACAAAACCCAGACCAAACTTCTTGGCCCCTATCCCACCCAGAGTTTATGCAGAATATCCTTGCAATTTCTACAGAGGAAAAGGTTATCGACAATGCCGTCCATCACACTGCTAATCTACTTACTTCCAAAATATCATCAGCAAATTTCCGTCAGAGTTTGGGGTTAAGGAGAAAAGTATCTAACCTGATACGCTTGGCCTTTAGTACATATTGCAAATTATATGATTCAGTGATAGTTACGTCCTTACCTTGGCTGCTAGGGAACTTGTGATTGCTACAATAATTTTTTCTTTTCCTTCTTTTAATACTTTGTTTTTACCTTTTATTGCATATTAATAGTTTTAGGTCATGCTGTATACTGTGATTAGAAAACAAGCTACTTTGGATCCTTTTTTAGAGTAGCTGAGGTTTAAGTAGTATTTATTTGCTATCATCAAACTAAAAACTGCCAAGTAAACAAAACAGTAATCAGTGCACTGCCTCCCTGAGGCTGGGGAGGGACTGGAATAAATAGTAATATTAATTCTGAGTTTGCAACCCTCCCGTGTGTTCTGAATTATATCAAAGGGGCAATGTATCAATTTCCCAAAAAGGGAAAACTAAAATTTTTGAGACGGTTTCCAAGTCAAATAATTAAAGGGGAGGAAAAACTTCCAAAATCTTCAGGAAAAGAGAAAACTGCAAGGCCAATGTGCTTGCTGTTTTCCAGTCTGGGTTAGTGAGAAGAGGAAGCTGACGAAGAGAGAAATGATATGATCACCAAGCAAAAGGTAAATCTGGGGAACGTTACGTAACCTCTGCTTTGTATCTCATGAATCTACACGAAGAAGACAGACAAAGTAAATGACTTCATAAAATAGCAGATCGTGATCTAAGGCAAAAGTGTCCTTGTCGTAGGCAGATTCCGCCAGGCGGCCACGCTCCTGACCTCAGTGCAGAGGAGCCCCGGGTACCACCCGGCCACCTGCTCACAACCCGGCTGCACGTCCCCCTTGTCCCAGGACGGCCACGTTCGGCTCACCTCCCGCGGACGGTGAGCGTCTGCTCCGGGCCACCCTGCGTACTCACATCAGGCTCGGCCGGTGCCACTGAGTGCTCCGGTTGTTGTGGTTCACATAGTAGGTCCGACCTAAATTGTCCACTTTTTCTTCCCAGCCCGGGGGCAGAGGGGGCGGAGGAAGCTCCTCCTGGTGCTGAGAAGCCGAGTCGTTCGAGTCCACGACTTCCCACCCGTGCTGCGGAACAAGATCAGGAAGGTCATGAGGGGGCTGCTTCAGAGGCGAGGAAGACGGGCACCGTGTCCCTGCTGCGCGGCTCTCTGGCTCTTGCAGTGGCTTCATGAGCTACATGAAGAAATTCCCAAAAAGGGGCCAAAAAAATCCCAAAACACAATTCTAGAGGGGTCTTAAAATATCGTAAGGTGACCGTCTCAGAAGGAGCAGCAGAGGGCTGGGGACGCGCTGTCCGCTGCGCTTCTGAGTCACGTTCCACCTCTCACCTTCCCTGTCCGTTACTCTGACCCCAAGGCCTCCAGGGCTGTGCAAAGCCAGGGCAGGGACACGGGTCGTGTTCCAGCTGCCGTCCTCCCCACACCTGCCCCAGGGAAAGGGGAAGACATGTCGTACTGCGGGTTCTAACAGAAGTCACAGCACGAGGGACCAGGAGGTGGGGGCTCGATTGTTCCCGGGAGACGGCACGGAGGCCGGCTTGGGGCGAAGCTCTCGCTCTGCTCCCAGCACGGCCACGGGAGCCGGAGAAGCCTGGACGCAGGGCGCCCTCCTAGACCGTCCCCACTGGCTGGGGCTACAGCAACAAGCTTCACGGGACCAGAGTTACATTTATGCAACACATATTTCCGGCATTAAGTATTCCTTCCTAACATCCCCCAGTAAAGTCACTGGAAAATTAAGTAATTCACGGGTTACGGCAGTTGGAAGGTTAGAAGAGTGTAAAAAAACTCTCTGGATTTGAGATGGAAATCTGTTGATGTCCTTGTGAAATCTTAACAGTCATGACTGTCTACCACCCACGACAGCCCTCCTCACAGACGAAAGCTCACAGATGAAATACTGCCTGGAAATCCGACCTCCTGGTCCGAGGGAGGTTCGGTGGACGGGCCCATGCGGTCACATATCACGTCTGTGCAACAGCTGCACACAGATGTGCACGCAAGGCACAGGAGGCCTTGTTTAGCGGACACCGTCAGGCTGAGAAGAGACTCGCAGAACAGCACAGCCTAAGGGTGCTGAGCAGGTACGACGGGTCCCAGGGTACAGGCACGTGACCGGCAAGTTAAAAGGCACCCGGCCTGGAGGGAAAGATAATGCCTCTGGACGGCTAACTGGTTCGGGGGGCAGCCTTCCTGATGCGGGCTGTCACCTGCGGGCCGAGTGAGGAGAAGCCTGGGACAGAGTCCCTGGATCGTTCTATCCACGTGGAAGCGACTCCAAGTGCTAGGAGTTTACAGAGCTGGCAGCCCGCAGCAGTGAGGGAATTAAAGGTGTGAGGGGACCTTCACACGGGGTGCGGCCCGCCCGAAAATACGGGATTAGCATCCGATGAAGAGAAACCTCTTCCATTATGAGGGTTATAACAGGGTGACAACGGAAGATGAAAAGTTCATCTCTTTTACTCAAAACACACCCACCTGTAGATGATCAAAGACAGATTCACGGGCACTTTTAAGTTTTTTTGTATCTAAGCTTTATAGACTTTTATTTCCTTGAGTAATACAGTCTTAAGGTGAAAGGTTTGCACGGGCGCAGGCAGGGAAGAGCGCGCAAGGCCCGGGCGGCGCTCACCTCCATGTCGTCCCTCTGCTCACCGCTGTCTTCATCCTGACCTCCGTTCTTCGGCATGTAGGCCATCTTCAGGCGCAGAAATCCCTTAACCCGAGACTTATGACTGCGGGACAGAAGGAAACTGGTTATAGAGGACAGGACCTGATTTACATCTGCCATACTTACGATGACTCTGGAAAAAGCTGAAAGACGGAAAGTCGTGGAATCTCCCTCAGAGAAAACCAGTACCCGAGGCCTAAAAAGAACACCCGCCCCAAGGCCTCACCTTCTTGGTCTGAGGAGAAAGTCCTTAAATGTGTACGGTCGCTCCATGGTTGGGTCTTCTGTCTGCAGGGAGAAAGAGTAAGTTTCAAAACTCCTGAAAGTCTGTATTGTTAGGTACACCAAACCGGATGGGAGAGAGCACGTTTTCATTTCGGATGTGGGGATGGAGAAGACAGTCGGTTCCTCAACCAGTAACTGGACAATTCATGAACCATTTTATAGGTCACGGAACTTTCTCCACCCAAGAGCCACTAGGTGTCACTCTCAACATCCGTTTTGGGGAGCCAACCCCCACCCTTAGACAAATGACAAAATGAGGGTGGTCAGTGCTAAGTGTAACTCCTGACTGCAGGGTGGAGGCCTCAACCCCACACGCTGATCAGCGTCGAGAACCAGTGGCCTCCTGTGCCTTCCTGTTGCTGTTTGCCAAGAAACCGCAAGATGGATTCCCAGGAAAAGACGCAGGTCCAGTCTGTGAAGGCACTTTTACGTCGTCAGCCTAAGACAATAGAAAGACTGTCCCCTCCCCGGAGATGGTCCTAGGGGGCACCAGCAGCCTGCCTTGTGCTGCTGCTCAGTTTCCAAAGCTGTGGATGTAATCGTCACATTTATCCATTTGTCAAACAAACCAAAGATTGTGCCAAATCAGTTGGTCAAAGCAAGTAGGAAATCAGAAAAATAAATGTTACTATTCCATCAATTTTTAAATACTATGTGTAGTAAAAGTCTCAAAAACCGAGTCTCCAATGAAACACAATTTAGAATATTTACTTCTGTAACAAGAGAAACCACAACAATTATTTTTAGTGTCAGAGGGGTGTGTGTGTAAGCCTTTATATTTGAAATGTTATGTGTGTCATTCCTTGCTCTAAACTCCTGATGGCTTCTCCCTTTGCTCACAATAAACTGAAAGTTCTTTTCTTTTTAAAAATTTTTTTGCTTTATTGATTTGAGAGAGAGAGGAAAAGAGGGGAAGAAAGAGAGAGAGAAACATCAATGAGAGAGAACAATGACTGGCCTCCTCCTGCATGCCCCCCACTGGGGATCAGGCCCACAACCTGGGCATGTGTCCTGACCAGGAATCGAACTGGCAACCTCTTGGTGCATGCACCCATGCTCAACCACTGAGCCACACTGGCCGGGCTAAAAATTCTTTTCTATGGCCTACAAGGTCAAAGAGGATCTGGCTCTTAGTGACCTACAACCTCACTCTGAGCCAGTCTCTATGGTCACGCCTTCTCCAACTGTCCTCTTCTGTGCTGTGCACACATCTCATCCAATCCCGCCCTCGCTGGGTCTTCTGGGACAGCTCCAGAGGCCTCAGTGGCCTCCACTTTGTCAGCCAGGTCTGAGACCAAGGGTCACATCTTCACACGTGGCAGCCTCCCCTTATCACCTTCTAGGAACAACATTCTGACTTACTGCCCCCTTTCACTATCTGAAACTGTCCTTGTCATTTATTTGTTTACTAGTTTATCACCCACCACTTCCAGAATGTAAGCTCAGATCAGAGACTTGGATTTGCTCACCACTGTATCTTTGGTGCCAAGAACATTGCTGGGCACGAAGGAGCCACCTGGGCAAGTCGCTGATTGATTCCTCTGATCTACAGTGAACCTTGGAGGCCATGAACACTCACCATCCCTGAAGTAAGTCAATGACATGCTTCTCTATTCGGCTCTCACTAAGGCAGTCAAGATTGGGGCTCACGATGGTTTCAGAGGTGTGGCCCACTGCGAGATGAACGGGAAGATGCTGACAGGCAGAGAACTGGGAGGAAGGCTAGTTCAAAATGAGGAAATGAACAGCACGAACAGGGTAAGAGGCAGGCACGGATCTTGGAGCAGTGGAGAGCCGGAGAGTGAACCGGAAAACCACAGAGCTTGGGGGAACTCTGACAAATGAGACTGCCCATCACTATGTAGTTTAAGTGACAAACACCACACAAATCAGGACACAGATCTCCTAGGCCCGGGGCCTGGCTTTGCTGTTTACATAGCCACATGGCCACGGAAAATGGGAGAATTGAGTCAAGGACCAAGAATGAAAGTGGACCGCGATTCTACAATTATCTTCTGTCATCTGGAAGCACTTGATAAGTACACGGCACTGAGGAGCCCACGGTCCAGGGGGGGAGGAGTCTCTTTTCTTTCTCATTATCGCTCTTTACGCTTTCCTGTGAGGGGACAATGACAGGGCTGACACTGACCTCCGGTCACGGTGACTTTCTAACACGCAGAGTGCACCCCGACTTCACACCATCCTCCCTGCCTGCCTCGCCTTCACTTGTCTCCCTGGCAGAGTGCCAACCTGGACTCTCACAACGGCCCACAAGGCCCAGCAGTGCACGTCACTAACCCAGGGGCCCAACGTGGAGCAGGGAGCCGAGGGGGTCCCGCGTGCACCAGGTCCAAGGAGCCAGATGCTTCTGACTTTGCAGAGAGCATTCATAGAAGGGGCTGCTCCAAAACAACTCCCTTGAGAGGTGAGAGTCACTGTGACCCCCGGATCTTACTAGTATACCACTCGGGTCAGGAAAATTACAGCAAATTAACTGCAAAGCAAGGTTTTCCACTCAGACACCAGTGGTGCTCCAGCAAGGGGAGAAGGTTCTGCAGCAAACGTCATTACCAAGTTTAAAAGCACACACGCTCCAAAAACACAAAATAGAGTATTTAAATGATTACAAACAATTTCCTAACAATCATGAGTGATTACACCGAGTTCAGTTCTGCTGCCCTGAATCTTCTCCATCAAGCTCCTGATTTAGGAAAGAGCTTCCATTCAAATGTCGGCAACTTCTCAGACCGAGTCACTGCAGACGATTTTTTTAAAAAAGAACAAAGGCCCTGGCCGGTTTGGCTCAGTGGTTAGAGCGTCGGCCTGCGGTCCTGAGAGACCCAGGTTCGGTTCCCGCTAAGGGCACGTAACTCGGTTGCAGTTTGTCCCCGGCCCTGGTTGGTCGTGCGGGTGGCAGCCACTCGATGTGTCCCTTTCACATCGATGTTTCTCTCTCTCTCTCTGTTCCTCTCTCTCCCCCCTCCACTCTACCTGAACAAAAAATGGAAAAATGTCCTCGGGTGAGGATAAAAAATAATAATAATAATAAAAAAAAAAGAACAAAGGTTCATGGAATCTGGGCAACAAGGGAAGCCTCCCTCCTGGTTTAAAGAGCCTTAGACTGCATAGTGCATAGGTGTGTCAGTACGGAGGCACAGATAACTGAGTATTTTGCTAATACCGATGTTAAAAATAATTCCGTTTCAGGGCCTTTTCTTATTAACTAAATTAAATATTCTTGGTATATTAGATAGGCAGAGCTAGTGAGAAAGCGCTTCTGGTAGGCTAAATGAAAAAAATCACCAAGGAAAACTGGTGAATTTGGGAATCTCTCCAATCCTAGTTGCCTCCAGCAGCCAGAATTTTGTGAGGAAAAGTAAACCCAGAATCATCCATTTTTGACCCAGGCCACTCTGGGCTGATCCTAACATGTGCTATCCAGTTTGGTAGCTGTTTGCCATGTGGCTTTATAATGTAAATGTGAATGAAATAAAATGATAAACTCAGTTTCTCGGTCACATGGGCTGTACCTCAAATGCCCAGCCACCCCACGGGGTGTGGGTGGCCATGCACAGCGGCCTGAGGGAGGGGTATGCTTCATTGACCCTCCCACAGCTTAGAATCATGCCTATCCGCAAACATCTGCAGAAGGAGTAGATTTTCTATTGGCTAATGAGGCTGTACAAAATTAATCCAAAATCAAACCCCCAATCGGAGTCCTGAAACCTTGAGTAGGCAGGCCTGGGTGGGTTGGTAACGGCCACTCTACCTCACATCACTGCTCTCCATTATTTGTCCTCATTACTCATGAGACAGCTTACCTAATTTATTTTATCTAAAATTTGATGATTTTGACAAATACTAAATCCTCAGGCCATACATCATCTGCCTTGACAATGGTCATGAAGCTAGCTATCGAGAAAAGAGTGTCCATTATCCACTCCACAAAACACATTCACATGCTTATTATTCACGGTATATACCCACCCTTACAGTAGCACACAAAATAGGACAACGTGCAATTTCCCCACATGTGTCCTATAGATACAATCACACACACACAGGTGCACCTCCAATGCCGGGCTCAAAGGCCATGTCCTTTCAAATAGGCTAGCTGGGTTCCACCACCACTTCCAGGACAGGGACACACCTTCACCCTCTCCTTTCGCCTCCTTTGTGGCCCATCTCCCAGACTGGCTCCACACCGCCAGTCAATGTTACGTGTGCAGATCATAGTGCTCCAAAGTACGCGGACCTTCCAGCCAGATGCGCAGCTGGGAGGCTCCGTTACTCCACGGGCTGAGCCCGCGTAGAAGCCCTCTGGAGGCATTCACGGCTCTGCCCTCTAACTGGCTGGTTTCTGTTCTAGCCCTGAGCCTTGGCACTACGACCTTCTTGGAAACCTCACCCTTGCCTCTACCCAAGTCCAAAGCCTAACTACTCCCACTACTGACTTGGTCTCTAAAAAGGAACATTCTCCCCTCTGGGGATCCCACTCAACCTTTCTAAACCAATCCGCATTCAGTCACTCAAATAATGCACTGTTGGATTGGAGCAAGACGTTTAGGAATGACACTTCCCCCTCTTAGAGAATATTAGTACAAAATTTGCCTTGACTGAGATATGATTTGTTGTTGTTAATCCTCATCTGTGATTTTCTTTTTTTCTTTTTTTAGAGACAGTGGAAGGGAAGTAGAGGGGTGAGGGGAGAGGGAGAGAGAGAGAGAGAGAGAGAGAGAAACATCGACGTGAGAGAGACACATCAATTGGTTGCCTCACACACATACCCGGACTGGGGTTGGGGTTGAACCTGCAACCCAGGTAGAATCCTTGACCGGGAATCGAACCCACCACCCTTCGGTGCGTGGGCTGACATTCTAACCACTGAGCCACGCCAGCCAGGGACTGAGATGAGATTTCTACATTACGGAAAAGGGTGGTTGGGGACACCATGACAATGAAATGGCCAACCAACCCATATTGATTAAAAAATGCGAGGACGTAGCCCTGGCCAGTTTGGCTCAGCGGTTAGAGCGTCGGCCTACGGCCTGGAGAGACCCGGGTTCGGTTCCCGCTAAGGGCACGTACTTCGGTTGCAGTTTGTCCCCGGCCCTGGTTGGTCATGCGGGTGGCAGCCACTCGATGTGTCCCTTCACATCGATGTTTCTCTCTCTCTCTCCTTCCTCTCTCTCCCTCCCACTCTATCTGTACAAAAAATGGAAAAATATCCTCGGGTGAGGATTAAAAAAAAAAAAAAAATGCGAGGACGTTACAACTTCAACCTGCGGAGCATAAGCAATGCCTGCTGAGGGAGAAACAAGCGAAGTTTTCCCTCACAGATGTTGAGGTCGCCATGTCCTCTCAGCGTGACTTTGAAGGATAATCGGGTGTCTGCTGCTCGTGGAGCTGGCGTCATGCACACGCACGCACCCTGCACACGCATCTTGGAGCTTCGGGATTTTATATAGAAACAAATATTCTAATGATATCATGATAACCACAGTTGCTTCCAATCTTTTCTTTCTTTATTTGGAAGGGAATGCACTTGAAATCTTTCTCCCTTAATAGCTCCCCTGAGCGAATAAGAATAAACTGCTTGCTGTCAGTCCTTCACAGGACGTCTCCAGAGCTTCCTGGTACGGTGCGCAGTCTTGGTACTTCATCTATGGTAACAGCAGTCGGCTCAGGGTAGGTGGTTTAAGTCATTTTAGTTTACAGCCTATTTAAGGCATTTGCTCACACACAGCATTAACAACAACAACAAAATAACAAAATGGTAGAGCCACTCCTCTCTTGGCTGCTATTTCAATCACTTTGTGTTGCCCAGGCAACCAGGGGCCAGAGGAGGCGTGGGATGCTCTGGAAACGTGAAGCTGGGACGCAAGGTGATTACCTCGCACCAAGGCCTCCGCGTCTTGTCCCCACAGTCTACCTATGTCACGTCAAGAGCACCTCCAACCTCAGTTGTTGGTCAACAGCTCCAAGTGTTCTGCGGCTCATCTGAGCAGAGAGAAACAGTAGCAGCACCGCACATGCTCACTACGATGCCTCACGCTGAGTGCATGTTCACTCAGAAGCAACAGCGTCTTCTGTCTGTGCCGACTGAGAAAGCTGTACAGCAAAATCTGGGCAGCAATAGCTTGCAGACACGCAGTCCGCAAGAAACCGCATGTGCGAGCCTAGACACAGGAGCACGTGTCTGATTAGACCCGAACAGTGAACTTGAAAGCAGACACTGCAGTGGCAAGGAGGGTTTGCACAGGAAGGGAGCCGTTCTGCATGATCTGACAAAGGAAGACGGAAGAGCAGAGGAGCAAGGTGCTGGTGACTGATCGGCACACGTGGAGACTCGAATGCACTCGATTCTTTCCTATCCCCATGAAAGGCCCACTCTGTAGGAAAGAACGAGGGCTCTGATTTCGGCCTCTCCACTGAGCTGAGGAAACATCACTCTGAAAAATACATCCAGCTGCAAACGATCAGAAGTCACCGCTCACAACAGGTCACAGAAAGCAGGTAGTCGTTCTTACCGGGAGATGATTGAGGGGCACGTCCACCTGTCCCAGAAAGTCGTCTCGTGTCTGTGGAGAAGAGAGCAAAGTTAGTGTCCCCGTTGATCTCACGGAGTGTCGGCATTCTTAAAAACATGTATTTACAAATAGAGACAGAGGTCCAGGGCCTGACACTGGAGGGCCATGGGAGACGACCAGATGATGCACAGACACCAGTCTTTGGAGACAGGTGAGCCCCAGGTCTCATAGACCTGACCTAAGCTGCCCGAGACTGTCAGGTGTCTATCATCTAAGCGACCTGGGAAGCATATGGTTGTCAAGAAAGTGCCACTCAGGATGACAGAGGATTTGGGGACATAGCTGGACCAATCTAAAGAGAAGACAGTAAAAACAGGTTGGGAACATTTTAACAAATACAAGATGGGGCAAAAGTAGGTTTACAGTTATTCATATGGAAAATAATACAATAATTAATAAACAGTAATGTAAGAATAAACTATTTCACACACTCACAATCGTAAGCCTACTTTTGCCCAAAAGTGCTATACATTAAGGAGCTCCCTGGGAGCTGAGAGTCTAGGGAAAGCGTCTCGTTATTAATAAATCCTACACATTATTTATCATAAAACAATGGCCTCCAACTCTCAATCTAGTTAAATACACTGCTTCAGAATCCAAGTTCATGGATTAGTCAATGGCTACATTTTGGACACACCATGCTTCTTCCCTTCTGCATCTGACTTACAATTGGCCCAGATGAAATTCATTCGGAGTCACCTGGGAAGTCTAACTCAGGCAGAGGGCGTGGCCTGGACCGTGGTGTGTCTGACATGTTTGCACTACGTCCTGCAGTCAGAGCGCTTGTGTAGCCTCTGAGGGTTACATGGCCTGAGAGGCCAATCAGACGCAGGGCTTCTGTGACCCTCATATAAAAACAGGCATTTAAAATGCCTAAAACCTGGCAAGTACTTTGGAGTGGAATCAGACCTGTCCCACAGTTAGCTTGAGAAAAAGCCCAAGGGGGAATCCAGACCTCTGAACCCCAAATCTGGGCTCTTATTTTCACTCTTCACTAATTTACTGTGAACTGTTATCCTTTACAGAAATGACTTCTCAAAGGTACTTGGAAAACGTCTCTTCTTGCATGTAACAGGCAGCAGCAGGTAAACATGAATGCAATTTAGCGACATGATCTGCTCCAGGCTCAGGATTTCCTTTCAGGTGATTTGCAAAATGTAATTCACTTGGAAAGCTATCTGTCTCCTCCCAACAATGCATGAAGGATAACGAAAAGTCCAAGTTAGGCTGGCTGGGTGTGCAGGAAGCATGAGATTCGCCCAGTCCTTGTGATGAGATCTTGTTTGTGTTCTTGGCTACATTTGCTACAACCCACCACAGAGCCACCTCCTCCAGCACGAGGCTGGGAGGTGCCCCTGAATGCTGTGTATCTATCTAACAAGAGCAGCCGTGTCCACGGAAGGCTCAGAAAAGGGGGACAGCTTTGCTGCCCAAGGGGTTAGGGAGCATTCCCATCCCCAACTTGGCCCCAATTTAGTTATAATTACAAAGCTAGTATAAGTATCGGTTAACTCTATAATCAAAACTAAAAAACAGAAGTGTGTTGACTACTGAGCATAAATCGTATGTCTGCCTAATTGCCAAGTCTCCCCTCTCCCTCCTGCTCCTGGTGCTGATGCTGTGAAGGAAAAAGGACTTGGGATGCAGCCCGAGGAGAAGACCACCTCACTCGAAGCTCTGTTCCTAACCTGATACCATTAAAGGGCTACTCACCCACGGTTAACGTCAGGGTTCCCGTCACAAAGATGCACACCACGGCTACATGCCCATGTTGTATTTCTGGGGAGATGTTCGAGTTCTAAACCGATCAAACAAGTTCAGCTTTCCTTAGACACCAGAAGACAGGCACCTGCCACTATGGGCTACAGCAGCGAAGCAGGGGCCGCACCCCACCCTCACAGCCACCGGAGGACGGAGGCACGATTAACAGGCCTGCTTCACAGGTGCGGAGCCTGGGGACCGGGAGACGAGAGATCTGCTCCAGGCTCCTGTGTGGGTCGGCTGGTTCCAGAGCCTGGCTCCTCACTAAGTAACCTGTCCCATACGTCAGCACAGGAAAGCAAGGCTGTCCACGGGACGCTGGCTCTCAAGGGTCGTGCGTGACAGCACAGTTTTATAAGTCGTGGGGGCGGAGGCGACCTGTCAAAATGCCTATTTGCTATGTTATCATTAGCACTGCCCCCTTTTCGGACTCTGCTCTGTCCCCGAGTGAAACATTTACCGAACCCGAGGTACTGATCATAAAACTAGGCAGCTTCGCTGGTACCGCAGCAAGTCTCTCGTTACACTGAAAAACCAATTTCTGAAACAGCCCGAGAGGGAGCAACCCCGCCATTCCACTCAAGGCGCTTATTTCTGGTTGACATCAAGGACGAGGGAAATGAAAGGACCAGGTCTGGACAGCACATGGTCAAAAGGATCTGGCTTACACAAGGGTTTCATCAGTCACTGGAACATGTTGGTGAGACCTAGTTTCAAAACAGCCCACTCCTGCCAAAACCGAAGCAGTTTTAGGTCATGTAAGGTATTTAGAGACGTTTGAGACCATCACACTATCCGTAGGACGTCGGGCCACAGAGAGGCATCTTACACCAATGTTAGAAACATGACGTCGACCCCATTTTTAATAATTCCCGTTACAAAAGTATTCCCATCAAGCTTCATGTTAATATAAGAGACGACAAAAACCCAATTTGTTTCAACTCACAGTGAATACTGGCATTTCTTGTGCTTATTTTTCTAAGTGGTAAATGCTACCAATTTCAACCTCAATTACTTGTCACACTATTTATTCTAGAGGCTGAAAATGCACAGGTTAGTACCAACAATAAATATTCCCTTCTGCCACGCCATCAAAAAAATTTCCAATGTCATGACAATGCAAAACAGAGCCCCTGAAACGTGTTATAGAAGGTAAAAAAAAAAAAAAAAAATCTATATTCTACTACAGGAAAGTGAAATAATACACCAAACACTCTCTCTTTCAGAGCTTGCTCTGAACAGTGGTGAACTATATTCAGGACTGCCCCTCCCTGCTTTTAAAATAACGATTCCCTTTTAAGTAAGACGGGACAAGTACGTGTCCTGGTCACGGAGATTTGCTTGCACCACGTGTGAATGCCGCTGGAACCCAATGCTGGGGACTACGCAGTGAACCCCACTGTGGCGCGGGGGCATTTCCCAAGGCTTCCTACGTGCACGCTGGGCCAGAGCTGCCAATAGCCAGTGGACACCAGGCTCAGCTGGACTCACAAGCGAATAAGACTCAATTTTGCAAAGAACATATTCAAAAACACCAAAGACTTTTGATGTCTGGGTCAGAACTGCACTTGAAGGAGGTGAGCTGCATCTCCTGCACGCTGACGACCACAGAGGTCAAGGGCAAATGAGACAGAGCATTCACGTGGAAACTAAATGAGAACATGCAGACCACGGGAGGGGTGCTCGCCGAGAAAGCCCCACTAGCAAAGGTGCTCATCAGGAAAGGTACATCGGCGAGAACGGGCACGTCTTGCAAGGCACAAGGACCCGCACGTAATACTGGAGCTTTATCTTAAGGCGGTGTTTCCACTGAGAGTTGCAGCCCCACTAGTAGTTCACAAGAAGCCTTAAAAAAATTAAATATAATGGAATAGAAAATATTAGTGCTTCGCATGAGATACTGAGCAAGTACTGTTTTGAGAGACTTATTTCAGTTTTGTCCATATATAAATGTGTGTACTAAGTTGTGATCTAAAATTAATTAATGTTTTTGTTTTTTTATCCTCACCCAAGGACATTTTCCCATTTTTTGTTCAGATAAAGAGGGAGAGAGAGGAAGAGAGAGAGAGAGAGAAACATCGACATGAAAGGTACACATGGAGTGGTTGCTACCCGCATGACTCAACCAGGGCCGGGGACAAACTGCAACCAAGGTATGTGCTCTTAGCAGGAACCGAACTTGGGTCTCTCCGGACTGCAGCCGACGCTCCAACTGCTGAACTAAACCGGCCAGGGCTAAAATTAATTTTAAAAAAAATATTTTTATTGAATTTTAGACAGAAGAAGGGAGAGGAAGAGAGAGAGAAACATTGATCGGCTGCCTCCTGCATGCCTCCTACCACGGGGATCGAGCCTGCAACCCAGGCACATGTCCTGACTAGGAATCGAACCTGTCAGGGCTAAAATCAATTTCTTTTTGTGTGACACCATCACAAGTTTAAATGCCACTCAACTACAGCAAATGAAAACCAGCCAGTGCTACCAATTGCCTGGGGTTTTATCCTAGTAATCCTTAAGTTGTGACTTCCAAGAATATTACATTTAGAATTTCTCAAGACAAATGGGACAGAAGTATGGAGGAATCAGAACAGAAGCTACGGAAAAAGAACTTAAAAGTAAAGCTACGGTGTGATTTGAAGTTTGCATCTTACAAATCGAGAGAAACATCACAACCTCCAGCACTGAGCCAGAAAAATGACCCCGGCTTTCCAGCCCCGCCATGAAATGTACCTCCCTGGGCGCTGCTGCCTTCCAAAGTGCGTGGCCCGGCCTGGGGCACCAGGATGGACTGGACCAGGGAGGCGGGCTCTCTCTTTAGGGTGATGGGAAGCATGCTCTCCGAATTATCCAAATAATCAGAGGCTTCCGGGCGAAATGTTTCGAACACAGGGACACCCTTCAACAGCCTGGTGCCTGAAGTGTCCCCGCCGGTCGAGATGCACCTATTTTCAGGTGCTCTCACTCTCGCTAAAGCATGAAGCCAGCTGTGTTGTCATGCCCGAAAGGAAGGAAGACTATTCTTGTGTCTCCTTCCACCTGTCAGCCGCCTCAGCTTCTGCCGCGCGGACAGCTGAACCGCTGAGGCTCGGGAGACACGGAGCGAGTGCGGCCCGATGCCAACCTGATGGGGCACCGTCCAACGCAGCACCACCTGGCGCCTCTGGCGTTCAAGGTGAATTGTTTTCAAAACAGTATGTTTTCAATGTTACTGTAATCAAATAGTCAAGTGG